GACGTCACATTATTCACCCACATATACTTTTTATGATAATTTTTTCATACAATATGTAAATTTTTGCATTAAAGTGGTTCATTTTTAAACAATGTAACGCACTTAATTTTTCTATTATAAAACAAATTTAATGATGAAAGTTCATAGTAATTGTTCTATTTAATGTGACGTTAGTTTTTATTGTAGTTTTTAATGATGCTGCTGGTGTTGTGACTACGCTGCTATACCATGTATAATGGTACTTTACATGACACATGTTTTTTAATATCCTCATCGTATTGACCTTCTTGCATACGAGACCAACAGTGAGATAACGTTTATTTTTATGCTGGCACTTATATGTTTAACAATAACACTATACGTGTAGCAGATATTGTAGAGGCGTGGGTGGTACTTATGTTTAATGAGGTTTGCTACAGGAGGACGAACATTTTGATGACTTAAATTTAAATTAAATATCAGTGTCTATTGGTATCGAAGAATTTGTTTGAGGCTTTTGCTTTTTCTTCATAGACCGACTTCAATAGTAATGTTTTACCGTTGTGCGATTTGAATAATTCTTCTTCTTTTTTTTAATGACTTATGTCGTCTTATATACTTCGGTAATTATTTATTATGGCTTTCCTCTGGGTAAACCCACTGTTCCTGGCTGGGGTATTGTAACAAATGAATAGTAATATTACTGTTATTATTACATGAGTTCTACTAGATACTACAAATCTGTTGGAGCCATAAACTACACCTCAAGGCTTTAATAATATTGCAGTGTACATGATCTTAGATCAAAAACAAGTTTGGCGTTTTTTTTTGTACATTAATTAGTCAAGTTAGTAAAACTTTATGTTCCCACTAAAGTCGCATAAAAGGAGCTAAAAAACGTTAATATTCAATTTAAACTGTTTATAGTAATTAATAAATCATAAATTGTGCTAAAATAAATATTAAATTTATAAAAAATAAAAAATCGTTGCTAATTTTCTATGCATTATTTTTCAATTTATGTTGGTAATTTGTACATGGTGTTTAACGTATACGATAAAGTATGACCAAATACATCGACGATTAGCCGTTGGCATAACAGAAACTTGCTCTTATAACCATAGAATTATATGTATGCTTGCCTAAAACCAATATGCATTCCATATTTTATTTAGAATGCTAAGAAAAAGTAACCACTTATTGTGTTATAATAGTCTGAATAACCGGTAGTTTGTTAAATTAGACTTGCAAAAAATAAAATTAGTGTACCCGTGTTCAAATAAATTCAAGAGAAATGAACCAAGTTGATGCTATTTATGGGCGTTTGTTTGTTTTCTAGTTACTTATGCAAGCTCAAAAAATGTATTAACATTAAAGAAGAATTTTTAACAGCCGACAGCTGTTAATAGGTTACTTTTGGTATCTACTAAATAAATAATCATGTAACGTTAATATTATATATTTTTTTTTTTACAAAAACGGCTATAATTTTCAGTAACGAAGGATGAACTTGAAATTACCCTTATTCTAAAATATAGTAAAATGTTTTGTATTATTATGTAAACATATATTTTTATTTTATGTAAATTGGTGATAGAAAATAAATGCTTAAAATGTTTGTTAAAAAACGTTTCAGACGTTTCAAGGTAAATATAAAATTGCAAGTAAAATATTTAGTGTGTCAACTAATACTCAATAGTACTTATTATTAGATATATTTAAGTTTTTTTTTACTTACATTTCCTTTTATAATATTATCTTAACAAATTGATGATAATGTAAAAATTTTAATGAATTAAAAATGTTCAAAGTTTTTATTCATTTTTAATGAAACATGTTTTTATACTAACAAAAAATTACTTTCTAAATCATTTAATTCTAATAAAAAATGTTTTACACATATTTAGTTGTACAGAATAAATTTAAATAGATTCTTTTACAACTTTCTATTTTAACGGTGAATTATTAATTAGTATAACCCAATTAATCTAGCATAAATTTAATTAATATTAAAACTAATTCGATGTTGATCTACTTCATCTTCGTGCCTGCATTGGCAATTTTACATTCTCCAAATTGTTGTGTAACTTATAACTTAATTGTATAATTTTCTCTGGGAATCACTTCTGTAAATGAAGAGTAAAAAATCAATAAGATAGCCATTTTTCAATATTTTAATTTGCTATATTCTTGATTTATAAAATAATTAAACATATATCTTTTGGAAATTTAGGATAAAATTTACATGTATCAAATAAGCCTAAAGATACTTATTTATAGTTGAATTAATAAAAAACGTTAGTTTCTTAATCGTCAAAAAATTAATTTTTACTTGAAATGTAAAAATGTAAAATACTATGTGGTTAGTGTATTGAGACGTTATGGAAAATTAAAATCATAACTATAACATAGGAAGTCTACTTAATTGTACTTTCGTTTATTAAATGTGCGTAACGTCATTGAAGCGTTTGTAATCTTTTAGTGAGCTCAAACAATATAAATTAGACACTTTTTTTTATTGAAATTAGAGTTAGGACTAATGTTTGTTTTTATTTTGACTTCTAGCTGATTGTGCTGGATCGAAATGAGCACGTTTTAAAGTCGTGTGTGTATGACTAATACTTAAATTATAACCCTAGGCATATTTTTACTTATCAATGTTTTTGTATTTTATTGAACTAACCGTTTACCTTATGAAAATTATTTCTTACACAGTGATAGAAGAAGGAGCTAAATCATAATTAAAGTACATACAGATCAATGATATTTTATAGAATTAAAAGTTAATTTGACAAATATTCAATCTTGATGTAGTACGCAGTATGACATACCATATTTTAATGATATCTTAGACAATTATTATTGAAACTATTCGAAAAGATAAGACTATCCAGTTTTTGTTTACACCTATCATTTTTTAATTGCGTTCAGAATAATTCTTGTTAAATTAAGCGTAAAAAAATATGACAATTAATAATTAATTAATATAAAAACTTTTATCTGAGTGACGTGAAAATAATTTAATTTTAAAATGCATATATTTTTATAGATGTATTAAGGCAATATTTGATTTAAGTTTAAGCGTTTAACTTAAATTATACGGAAATATATAAGGTTTGAAAATATGATTAGAATTTTATCGACCAAACGCAGTAAACCATTTTGCTGATGAATACTTTGTAAGGAATGTTTAAACGTTATTTATTTTTCGCGTTCTCACGAAATACTTAAATTTCCTATTAATCTCTAATGCATTTGGGTGTGGCTACAAACATTATATTTTTGAAAATTCTTAGGTTCCATTATTTCAAATACAAAAAAGAATAATGTCAATAAAGCTATTTAGTAATGGCCAATCAAAAAATAAATATTCGTTTACAATTACATAATAAACTCAAGGAATTTGTTATTTATCGAGTAGTAAAGTGAAAAATAGAAGTTGTAAAAATATTGCCACAATATTAAATAGTTGAAACTATAAAGTTATTTTGAAATATTATTTACTATTTAAATAATACTACGCTATTTGAGCGGTTAATCGATAAAAATGTTTAATTTTGGAGTAAATATTGTTAAATAATTTAAATGATTCAAAGTTGTTAAAAAAGTTGTATAACTCATTCTATGTATTATCAATCTAATTTGTATTCACATTATGGTAAATTATTTTTACTGTAATTTTTTCGATTCTAATTTCAATTACTTAACGAGTAGATGTCTTTTAAATGGTATATTATATTCTCATTGCATAATTTAAATTATCTTATTTTATGCATATTTAAATGATTAATGCATATATTTAAAGTTGTTATGAATACTTAAAACAAATTTTTTTAAATACTAAGTGTAAGTTTAAAGATATACATATCCTGTATACCTAGTTATGAAAACTTGGTTACAAATGATATTTTTTTCAAGTTTTTCTTATGAAATATTTAAAAATGGTCATCGTCCTGGAAAATAATGATTACACTTAATGAAAATACTATTTGTGTTGTAATAACAAATATAATTATTTTGAATGGACAATCAGTAACTATATCCAATTAAGATTCACGACAGCTTCTGTTTCGGCAGATTTGTTAACTGTTTGTAATTGTTAGTTTAGAGTCAGGCTGGCATTCCAAGACTTATCATGATCTATGCGGAGTGTTCACGCAGCAATAATATTAATAACGTGGTATTATTATTTTCAATTAGATCAGATATCACTGAAGACGCCTGCATAAGTCCACAGTCTATCCGCTTGGTTGTACTTTAAAAGCAAGTGTAATAATTATATTTTATTATTGTTCAGCACTACACGAGTTATTGCCCCCCGCACGCGACGCTGCGGTCTATGATCATTTTTAGAATGTTTTTGTTCTTATTTCGGGTTGTTATATCGTGTTGAAGGTTTGAATGACTAATGAGTGTATTCGTTTGTTAAAATAGTTGGGATTAATTTAGGGGTTAATTATATAGTGTCTAATGGTTAGAACATGCCAGTTACATTATGTTAAGTATTTTTACTAACACAACCCTCCTATAGTTTTTGTATGATAACACTTTCGAAAATTCTGTTGAAAGATCTTATATCTGTTACGTGTTATTGAGTATAAATGATTTGTTCTTGGTAAACATATGATTTATCGGTTTTCTTTAAACGTTTTTAAGATTTATAAACATGTGTATGGAATTCCTGGATCTATGATATTGGTATGCGAGACGAACTGGAGAAATTTTGAAAAAAGTAAAATAAAAGCATTGTACTTACAGTTATTGAGCTACATATAGGACAATAATAATAATTATTATTTATGATGTTAATGAACCGAAAGCAGTGAAAGTATGGCCTTAAAAATAAAATAAGCAGGCTCGCTACTTTAAGTAAAATGGGAAATAATGTTATACTAGATCATGTTTATATCACCAATTCTATTCCAGAAACAAAGGAAACCCTTTTTTGTATACATTTTAAAAATAAATATTAATATTATTAACATTAATTTCATAATATATCTAAAGGAAATTTTTTTTAGGGATCGTATTAGGCCTAGCCTAGTTGGTAAAAACGTATGTTTCAGCGCATGGGGTCTCGGGTTCGATCCTTTAGGTGACAACGAGAGTTTTCTTGTGATTTTCTCATTGGTGGTGTCTGGTCTCTGGTGAATAATACCAGTCCCATCCATCATCGACCTAGCCAAGAACCATCTTTACTATCTAATATGCGAAAGAAGATACCCTCTGTAGCATTTAAGTTCGGGAAATAGAAAAATATAAAACTGATTCATCAATTATCTAAAGGTGATGTTTTCTTGCAGTTGTTGAAAAATTATAATAACTATAAGTCTGTTTGTAAATCATATAAGTACCAAATTGCCCATAAAAAATAGTAAAATATTATGTTTTCTCCTAAGTAGTATGTGAGAAGGTGATACTATTTTAGATGCCAACCGTGTATGCTGTTTAATTGTTTAACACCTAGAAAATAAACGAGTACTAATACTTTTTTAAATCTAAAAATTTATAAAACTTTTTGATTGTTCTTATATTAATTACGAAACCCTATTTTGAATGTCTCTTCAATAAAATACCACTTGAATAAAATTTGTGTTGGTTATCATATTATTCATAATGTTACTTGATTTTAGCTGATAAAATATAATAACTGTTTTTATTTACAGATATTTTAATATATTTACAAACAGTTTTGGCCGGTGAACAGTTGTCAGAAAGAGCTGAAGTACAACGCATTCGACTTATTACTAAACTTTCTTTCAGAGAAAAGTCACCGTCACAAGGTCCTTATTTAGAAATGAATGGACGATCTAAAGGTAATTATTGTGATGCACGTTATGTACTTTATATATACAATTGTATTCTTGGAATAATTTTTAAGTTTTAATGAAGAATAATTCTTCATTATTATGGCATTTATAACATGAGTCTATCGTATTTTAACAGAACTTTCACTTGGATCGACAAATATTAGTATAGTTTGCCAATAAAAATTGATTTATAAGTAATTTTTTGGAAAACTACGAGCCGCCCTTAATTTGGTTTTTAAACTGGCAACTTCATGGTTGTCGGTATTATTATGCACTACTCAAGGTAATACCTTGATGTGATATAAAATTTATAATGAAATCAGAGAGACGCCTCTTACGCCGTACTTTTTATACTTAAATAAAATGTTTTTCATTGTATTAAATACAATTAAGTAATGTAATGACGTTTCAATATTGTTCAGCAAAAGTTTATGCTAAATTATTATTTATTATTATTGGTAGCTCTATATTTTATTTTACCAATTATAAATGGATCACGGAAGTCATTTTCCACTACATTTACTAATAATGCCATACATCTATCATAATATAAAGTCATTATTAATGGATTTAGCGTTTAACTGAGGAGTCATTGATTAAATAAATAACAACTCGGTTCTAAGAAGTTTGTACGACTTGACTTTTGAAGAAAAATATTCATTTTGCCAATGGAGTATGAATTTGTATAGCTCACATAATACTTATTTAAAATAATTACTATACTAGTATTCTTGACCTTCAAGCTGTATATTTTGTAAATGGATTTGACGCTATGAGAAAATATTTGAAAATAAATTTATTCAGTGCTATGTAGCATTATATCCATAAACCATCAACATATATGCATTCATATTTTACTTTATAAATAGTTCCAAAATTTAAAAACTTTTTGAAATCTCTTTTTATTTTTGTAATTTAGGTCTTATAATGAAATCAAATAGTTTTGCTTGTCTTCATCAACAAGTAGCTTATGAAGAACTCTGTGCGGATGACCAGCCTATTTATAACAATGTGCCGTACGAGGATGAAGATTTATTAGATAATTATGAATCGTTCAGTGTGGGTAATGGACGAGGATATATTAGGACAGATTCCAAATCGATTAGCAATAGTTCCAAAAGACACAGTGGTGAGTCAACAACAGGCGATGATTCCTCATTGGGATCTTCGCGGTGTACGCTTAGCAAATCTGTCAGCCTAAGTAGCAGATCTACTAGCGATTCTTCCGAGAGTTCAAAGAGCGAAGTAATATTCGTGTCAGCCAATGCAGTCAAATACTCGGCCAGTAAATACGGTGTACTTTTAAAACGTGACAAAATATTATTCGTTGATCATACTAAAAAATATTGGGCCGCTGTGTTAGCGTCTACTATGTATGTGTATCACGGCGAAAAAGAATTAAAGCCTTGTCAAGTCATACATCTTGAAGGGTACACGGCGAGAGATGCGAACGTCGGTTCTATAACTAATAAAAAAGACTGTGTATTGGAGCTTGTATGCCCAGGGAAAAAGACTTATCAAGTAATATTTGAATAGAAAATATGTTTATCTTTTATTGACTTAATTTCAAAATAAAAATTTTTTTTTATTAGATTTCTTTTTAAAAGTTCAAATTTAATAAATAAATATGTTATTTAAATGTTAACTATAATTTTATTGTTATTATTTTTTTACAGTTCATAACTCAAAATTCAAAAGATATGATATCTTGGGTTGAAGCTATTAATAATTCTAGTAGTAAGCTATCCATCTCAGAATCTCTGATTCAATCCTCTTCTCCTATATTCTTTAAACACGAACAGGTTTTATTACCTAATCGTCAACTGCCTAATCCTCCTACAGAATCAGCCCTTGAAACCCAAGATTTTTGTTACGATAAACCAAATCCAATTATAAGGCCGGTTCATTTGTATGCTAACTCTAACAGTGTAGATGAGGTAGATATGGATTCCATATATCAATTTATTGATGAGTCTAAACACAGTGGGCCGAAAATTAGCCTAGACAATAATCAGTCCATAAATGGGTCTTATGTATGTTATTGAATTTAAAATTACATCATGGATTAATTTTTAATTTTGTTTTAGACACAAAATGATTTATGTAATGACAAAGATGATTCATATTACAATGTCCCAAACAATAAACCTGTAGAATGTGATGTAGTGGAGCAAGAACAAAATAATAACATTTATGATGAATACTACACTGAAAAAGAAATTTGCTACGATATAGTGACTAGTATGTGTAATTATTATTGTATTTATGTAAGAAAAAAGTACAAATTTAATACATTTAAATTAGTAAATAAATAAACAATATTTATTTTGATTTTATTTTAATTCTGGTTTGTACTTTTTCATTATTATTTTTTTTTAATAGTTATGCATACGTATTATGACATTTATTTCTTAATACATACATATATTTTGTTTTTTTTAATATAAATATTATTAAACTGTATAAGTGTATGAAATTTTTTAAGGCTGATTTCATTTTGATAATCTTAATGAATATAACTAAATTGATGAATTTTTTTAGGGGAATGTGAAGTGGCACCTGATCCTGTATTGGGAGTTCAAGAGATTATTCAGAAAATTGAAGGAATAAATAATAAAAAGCAAATATCTCCCTTGCTCAGACGAAAATCGCCACCTAAGGGCAATAATATTGTGAGAAATTCTACTTGCGCCAATGAATTATATGAGCCAAATAAAATTATGAAAAATATGTCAACAAATTTAATAATTACACAAGCTTATAGGCAATCTCGTTAAATTGACTGAAATATTATAATCACATTTATTTGAGTGACCATAGTTTGTGTAATGAATTATATTGTTACATTGCTATTCAACTGTTATTTTTCAATAATTTAATAGCGTTTAAAATTTTGTACCTATTGGTTTTAAATCAAAATTTTTACACCATATTTTTTCTAATTTTATTTAATATTATGTTTATGGATTAATGTTATAAAATCCGCTCAATTTATTGTTTTTAGTCCTTTTGTAATTATTTTGAAACAAAATTGGGATTTATTATTACTATTAACGCTTGTGTAATAGCTATAAGTTCATATTAGAATTTTTTTACTGTTTAATTATTTTTTTTGTATATTGTAAAACCACATTTTTGTTTCTAGTCCATAGATTTTAATGAACTAATGTCTTGTATATTGTAACTTTATATTTGTTTCTTTTTATTGGTCTTTTATTATTTAAACACAATTAATGATAAAAATTTATTTTTTTTATTTTATATTAATGTAAGACAAGTATTTGTTTGATTCATTAAATTAGTTTTCAATATAATTATGTAAAATATAATTATAAGACATTAATAAACCAATTTTTTCAATAATTTTCTGAAATTAAATTTTTATAAAACACATTTCCTAAACTGTAATATCAAATTTATTATAACATAGGAAGAAATTGAAAGTGGAATATTTAATTTCATATATTAAGCTTGTCATTAAAATTTTTTTTATGAAGTTTTAAAATAAAAGTAATGGAATTAATGAAAATAATTTTATTTATAATTTTAAAAGAACTAAGAGTTTTTTATTTTAATAAAATTAATTACATTAAGAAATATTTAAAATGTTTAATTTACTAGTGTCAATCCATGTCAAATCCTATAGAAGTTGTTGCATAACACCTCATTTTTTTCTTAAATTTTCAGGGTTTATTCTTTATGCTATATTTATTTTAAAAAAATTTTTTTTTTTGTTTTTTTTTTATGATGATTGTTTTTAACAATTTTCTTTCAATTAAATTAATATTGAATAATCTGTGTTTTTTAACGTTCTGGCTATTTTTAAGATTTTATACATTGAAATGGCCATACAAATGGAAAGATAATAAAAAAAAAAAATTGTTTTAATCTGTATATAGCATAAATCCTGAAAATTTAAGAAAAAAAGGAGATGATCATTACACATAACTCAATAGTTATGTAAAACTTTTATTTAATTTTAGATTATTACTTAAATTAAAATTTTTAATTTCACATTAATATATTTCTATTATGTGGTAAAAAATTGGCCAATTTTATCAAAATTGTTTACATTTTGTACTATAAAAATATGGATTTGCATAAGGTGCCATTGAAATTTTTTATTTATTTTTCTTCTACTGTACAATTGCTAAAATTTACTTATCAGCTTTTGAAATAAAGCCACACATTTTATTGCTGGCAAATTAAAAGTTTTATAAAAAAAGAAATTTTTAATAATAATAAATAATTTGCTTTCTATATTAGATCATCGATTGTAGGGTTTATATCGATAAAAATTTTAAGGATTATTTTTGATGAAACCCTATAATGATGATTTAAGTGAAAAAATTATGAAATAAAATATTTACTCTAATGAGATTTTAAAAAATTATTATTCTTATATTAATACCTCTAGAAAAAAAAGATTGTAATTCAATTTTTTTTTACTAAAAAAATCTGTTAGTTGATATAAAACTTGTTAAAAAAAAATTAAGTTGTGTCCTTTTTTCTAAAAGGTGTCAATATTTATTACTGCAATATTTCTTGTATTTCCAAACAATTTTCTTTAAAGTGTTAGAGAATTTAACCAAGGTAGAAAATGTGATCTATTTAAATGTAAAAAATTATTATTTTTTTAATAAGGGTCTGGTATGTTTTATGTTAATTAGACATTGAGAATCTTTTATAACTATATATGTGTTGAATCTATTTTTACTGTAAATAAATTGCTATACATTTAAAATACATTACATGTACAACACAAAGCTACTAAAATCTGTAAAATTATTATATTTTATTGAATTGTATATCAAGCACGCCATTAAATTTAAAATAAAACTAAAAAAATGAAAGTCATTTCATTTTTTTATAAATATTTTGATTTAAATAAAATATTATATTATATTTCAATGTAATTTTTATTTAAACAAATAATTAATAGTATAAAAATCAAATTTATATACTTGTTTTACTTTAATAATTTTTAAAATTTTAAATATTTTTAAACTATTAGGTACTTAGTATATCAGAAAATTAATATTTTAAAATTGTACACAATTATAATACCTGGTCACCTGCATAATGGAATTTTGAACCCCGGAACATGCTAGGGTAATATTACTTTAGCACCTCAAAAGAAAAAAAATGTTTTCTGTGGTAAGAGGAGTTTTACAAATAAAAGTTTCTTTTCTGTATAAAAACGTATATAATACCATGTATATATTTTTTTATTTTCAGTATACGCGTGTCTAGGTAAGTTATTTAAGGTAACGAACATCATTTTATGATAAGTTTTAGTTTATCAATCTGAATTAGAAATATTTTCAATTATCTCATTTAATATTTTTTAGAAATGCGCCATTTTTTACATAATATTACTTTAATGAATCATTATTTTTTTCAATTTAAATACAATGTGCATCGAACTGGCCATATCACTATTAGGGTCAATGACTTGATTCATTGATAACAAGCTTTAATTAACTAGTTCATCAAATGTTATTATCTTTTATAATTAAAGTACATTTCTACAATATTGAACTTTTATTTAAATTAAAATTTAAAACATATTGTAAAGAAATGATAATTAAAAAATTCAATTAAAAATCCAGTGGCTCTTTGAAACTCTTTGGAGTTATATAAAAACTTAGCAATGAAGCTAGTTAAAAATAACCACTTTGTTCTCAAAAAAAGTAGAATTTTCTTATTTTTGTACTTGTAAATACAACAATATTCTTTCAATAACAAATCATGTCATGTGATTATTAAACAACTTGATTGTAAAAAAAAATAATAAAATTTGATGGGGGAAGGAGAGGTGGTAGAGAAAAAATTTTTTTGAATGTTTTAGAATGTAGGGAACTTAATTTCTGAAAAGAAAAAATTATATTATGTTTTGTATTTTCAAAGATATTTCAGAGTCATAGGTAAACAATCATTCTATACACTGAAAAATCCCCTGGTAAAATCAACAAATGCATTACAAAATCGTCTAATAAACTTTTTGTTAAATGAATCATAGATATTCACCATAGTTATCATTATTTTTAACAAAAGAATTAAGAAATTATCAATTTAACAAATAATTTGTTAAACCAACAAAATAATTGGTTCAACTAATAAAAATTCTATTTATTTAACAAAAATATTATTGGACGTATATTGATAAAAAAAATTGTTGATTATAGAAGGGAGGTTTTTAGTGGAAGTATATATGCACTATAGTTATATATACATTATAGTTCCTTTCTATGATTATAAAAACATTATAGAAACTTGTGATAAAATCCTTAACTCGTAAGTTTAAAGTGAAGGTAAAAATCAATTTTCTTGTTTATTCTTATATTTTACTGCAAATTATTTTAATAATACCAATAATCTACATTAAAAAGAAAGTAACATTTAACCAAAAATGAGTCAAAAAATTGACCAAAATTTAAGATTTCAAAAATTAAAAAAAAATTTTTTTTACTCAAAAGTTGTAAACTTTATGATAAAAGAAATGTTTTTTTAATTAAGAAAAGGATTTTATAATGTTAATTGAAAATAACAATTGATAAACTTAATAAACTCATAAAATTGAAAAAAATTATATGCTGATTTTCTTTCCTAATAATATTAAGATAAATATAAATTATAATTCTACAACACTAAATAGTTGTTTTTAAGTTGATTTGAAAAATTGAGACATTTTATTTTTGCTAATAATATATAAAATTATATAATTAATAATGAAATGATGTGGCAATGATAATATTACTATATTTTTCACTTTGGTTATAGAAATAGTTATGGAAAATCCCTTACCTAAACAAGTACTAAACATGTAAATATTGTGGTATTTCTTATTCCTCTCTGACCAAATGTTTGATACTGTAAAATAATTATAGAAAATATCAAATTTTAAAATGCTCTAGAATTTTAACCATAAAATATTAAGAAGAGATTTGCTGTCAAATTTGTTTTCATTTCGATTCTATAAAATTTAGTAAAAAAAAAAAATTGAATAAACCATTATATGGAAAATAAATCGATCAATAATCTTTATCAGACATATTTTAAACTTATCTGTGAATTATTAAAGAAAACGGAAAAACACATTAATTAGTTGGTTAGGAATCATATTAATAAACAAGATAAAGTACTAAAGTACGAATCTGAATCAATCGACAACTTTGTGGTCTTATTCTTAATAAAACCTTCGCTGCGTATGCTGCGGACAAGACATCTGTAAACATGGCTATGGCAAATGCACCGTTGGAAGTTAGTTCATTGTACTCAGCTATAAATGACTTTTCAGCTGCATTGTATAATGTGAGTTATTTAATTATTAATAACTTTCACTGTAATAACTAATAAAAAGTATCTTTATTGCTTAAAATAATGTTTAAGAAAGGATCTTCTTTCTTTTTAAATTTTTAATGATATTAACTTAAGATTATATATAAGAAATAAATTGTATGAAATGATTTAAGTTTTAGAGTATGTGTGAGTCATATATTCAAATTAATTTTTATTAAGTAAAACACTATATATATTTTTTAATATAAAATCTTTAAATATATATTAAAGATTAAATTATTAAATTTCAGGTTGAAAATTGTATGGTCAATATTAATTAAAAATGAGTTAATCTAATTAAGTTTTAGTAGAATTTAAGATAAGTTAGTTAAACGAAAAAATTTGTTTTAAAAATCATGCATTAATTTGATTTTTAATTATTTGTTTATATATTAGATATTATAAATCAGATGTTACAAATAGTTTATATTATATTATCTATTGAAATAAAAAAAATCTCTACGATAAAAGAAAAATATAAAAGAAATATTCTAATTATTTTTAGTTTACGAAATTGAGAATTACTTAAGATTGATAAAAGCCTAACATTAATTTTCTGAAATAAATATATTTATATATTAAATATGAAGATGCCGGAATATACGTTTAATGAAATATATGTTATTTTATAACTTGAGGGCTCTTAAATTTTATTTATGTTGACGTTTTGCTTTTATTCAAATGATTTCTATTAAATTAGTTAGATAACTAGTAATTGAAAAATATTTTTGTTCAATTTTTTACACTAAAGCACAAAAAAATATTTTCTACGTTAATATTTAATTTATAAAAAATTAATGTTTGGAAAAGAAATTATAAATTGTTTATAAAATTGTTCATTAACTGATATATGGTGTTATGTTCAAAGGTACAATTTTTATGACTAGATTATAAACTAATTGTGAGTTTACGATATGTTAAATAATATCGAAATTGCCAACTAAGATTAAATAAAGTTAGATAAAATATTACTTGTACAGGATAAAAATTTAATAATTAGTTGAAGGATCTTATCATAAATAAATAAAAAACAGTTAAATATATCTAGCCATANTTGAAGGACCTTATCATAAATAAATAAAAAACAGTTAAATATATCTAGCCATATTTTGCTAAATAATCAATAAATATAATGATGATTTTTCATTAATTAAAAATTAAATTAAGAAATATTTTTTAGCTCAACTGTTTTTCATATTGATTAATTATTTTGAATATAAGTTAAAGATATAAATACAATTAAATTTATAATTTGTAAAATATTGCTTACTAAGTGTGAAATTCATAGTGAATATTAGTGCAATCAATTTTTTTTAATGTTATTAAATTTTGTAAGAAAATTAAAAGAATTTTTGGTGGATTTATTCTTTAAAATAAAATGATATTAAAAATATTATTTTGTAATCTTCATATAATAAATATATTTTGAAATAAAATCATGCAGTAATTTTTGTTTTTATTTTATGAGTTTTTTAATTGAAAATTCGATTTGTCATTAATTTATTTTTATAGAATAATTAAATTTAATTACACTATAAAATATTTTATTTTACAAAAATATTCTTGTTTCGTATATTTTATAGGTTTTTAGATTTTTAATTTTTATATTTTTTTATGAAGGAATTGGGTCAAGACAAAACTAAACAAAATTTTGTCTTTTCACCTTTAAGTATTCATTTGGTGTTATTTTTGGCAAGTGTTGGAGCCAAGGGTTCTACTTATGAAGAAATAACTAATGCATTACGCTTACCAAAACAAGGTGCCGAAATGCTTCCATTATACAAAGAATTTTTATTTTATCATGAGGTATTAGAAATAATATTATTGTATTAACTTTTAAAACTTTGATTTATGTATTTCAATTTTTTAGGAGGCAGAAGAATTAAAACTGAAGACAGGGGTGTTTATTGATAAGTCTTTTAACGTTAACCCCAATTTTATAGAAAAGGCCCAGAGGTATCTCGATTCGACTGTAGAAAGTCTTAATTTTGCTAATGATCCTGCGAAACAAATCGATTACCTAAATGAATGGGTGCAAAATTACACAGATGGCAAAATTAATAATCTTTTTGTTCCAGGTTATTTAAATTATATATTTTTTCTTATCATATATTTAAATAACTCTATATACTTTTTAGTCGACAAAAAACATATATATATTTATACATAAATTTGTTATATTTTTAATATCAGGAAGCATTTCTCAAGACACAAAGATAGTACTTGCAAATACTATACATTTTAGCGATCAATGGAAAGATCCATTCCTTACTGAAGAGATGATGGATATGCCGTTCTACATCACACCAGCTAAGAGTATTAGCAGACCAATGTTACATAAGGTCAAAAGATATCAATACTACAAAGATTCTACCTACAAATTTTCTGCTATGAGAATTCCATATAAGGTATTTTTATTTTTAACTATGTAAAATATATATTTCACATTTACAAATTTTGTCCAAAAGCTGCTGAATTATTAAAATCAAGTTTTGAGATTATAAGTAATTTATAAAGAAAAAAGTTTTTTCTATTGTCTCTCAGTTTATAAGTTCATTTTATGTAAAATATTTGGTTTTCTGATCTTCCAAAAAAAATTAAATTGAAGCATCAGCTATGAAAAAATCCACACACATTTATATCTTATAAATATTTATTTTACTAAAAATTATTCTGGTATACTATAGTATAGTAAATTTATTTACATAAAATAAAATCTACAAATTGCACACTATTAAAAATAAAAAAATTTTATGATAAGCAATTTTATAATCTGTAATTATAGTTACTGGCTGTTAAAATTATATATTATTATTATATCACTACTATTATTAATTTATATTATAATTATTAAATGAAATATTAAAAATGGAGAAATTAAAATATGGTACTCCATTTTGTAGTACCAAAATAAAAAATTAATATCTGGACACTGTACAGTTATATTATAATTTAACTTTTTTTGTTTACTTGTAAATATTTCGAGTAGTTCTATTACTAAACTATAAAAGATTTTTCGTAAATTTAGTTTTCATTAAAATTAAAAAATTGAAAATACTACTACTGTGTTTATAGTTTATATTGTTTACCGATATATATACTGTTTTTTGTATCTGTGAACGCTCAATCTCAGCTCTAGCTGGACCAATTTTGATGAACAATACGTCAAAAGATCACAAATCGTATCTAGTCGAAGACATTACCCTCAAAATTTGAAAAAAATTCCCTCGTTCCCCCTAAATGGGAGAAATCCTTCAAAAAATTACAAATTTAAAAATCGCTAATTTTCAACATTTTTTTTCAATTTTCTTTACTTAAAACTACCATAACGGCAATAAATAAAAAAAAACACATANAAAACTACCATAACTGCAATAAATAAAAAAAAACACATCATAAGTATCTTCTCAGCTTCGCATCGAAGCTAAAATTATCCGATTTGATAACCCAAAGAGTTCACATTAAGTAATAATCAGTATTATTGTTAATTATGAAATTTTAGATATGCGGTTTTATTTTCAATTTCAGGGTAATTTTGACATGATCGTTCTATTGCCGGATGCTGTAGATGGTCTTTCTGAACTAGAATCTAATTTAGCCAAAATCAATATAATTGAAATGAGTAGAAAAATGACGACACATCTAGTAACAGTTTGTCTTCCAAAATTCAAGATCGAAGAGGCTTTTTCACTCCTTTCTCCATTAAAAAATGTTTGTATATTTTAATTTGATATTAAATATCACTTAAAAATGAAATTTTAATTATAAACAATTGTTTTATAGATGGGATGTCCTACAATTTTCACAGAAAAAGCAGATTTCACCGATCTTGCTCCAAGAACATCTAATTCATTATATGTTAGTAATGTTTTGCATAAGGCTACTATTGATGTAAGTGAAAATGGTACTGAAGCAACAGCCGCTACAGGTAATATTTAAAATAATTACTTAATAATTTTCATCAAATTGTTTGTTTTAATACAACTAATAAAATTTATTTTACAAATTAATTTCAGCTCTCATTATGGTAACTAAAGTTATGACTATTTCTAATCCAGTAGACAAAGTTAATTTCCAAGTTGACCATCCGTTTATTTTTGCCATTGCCAATAAAGAATTCGTTTTATTTATGGGACGTGTTAAGGAATTTTAATATATGTTTAAACATTTTAATTAGTTTTATATAATCATTTTTATTAGTTATATTTCATGTTGATTATTTGAGGGCACAAGACTTTTTACTGATTTTGATCTTATAAATATGTACTTGATTAATAATGTTTTTGGTTATTTTAGACATATAAATGTATAAAAAATTGTAGCAATAAAATATTTGTCAAATTTTTAACATTTAAGATTTATTAAAAATATAATTTATTGATATTTTATTTTTTTGTATTGTGTAGCTATTTTTAGTTACTAGTTTTTCAAAAATCACACGTTTAACTTCTATGTGTAAGAATTTTAATCAAACTATATATATTTCCTTAAAAAAGAAAAATAATATCTGGTTATTACTAAAAATAAAAAGATATTATAGTTTATGATACAGTTTTTGATTTTAAAACCTTTACGTCCTTTTTTTTTGTTTTCATTTCATAATTTTACCATATTAGTATCTTTAATAAAGTAAAGTTATAAAAATGAAACTTAGATATGGTGTAAATACACCACTTATACCATTTATTTTGACAGTTTTCATTAGATATACTTAATATTTTATAAAAACGACTGTTCCTAAATTAAAAACTCATGATATGACTTAGATAATACACATGATTTTTAGTTAACATTATCCAGTATTTTTAGAGTATTCAAACACTATTATTTGAACACTTTTTCAGTATTTTAAATGCTTTTTAGTAGTATTTGTGTTTGAAATACTAAATACTTATGATTTTAATTTCATTATTCTTTTTATTTAATAATTATTGACTGAACTAGATTATTAATAGTTTTTATATTCTGTGTGTTTAAAAATTTGCTGATACAACCTATTTTAACAATCAAAAAGGATTTTTAATTTACAACTCAACATATTTGATATTGAGATAGTTGTAGAATATTTTTTTTGGACACATTTTTCTATTTTTCACTATTTTTGATTGCGTGAGATTTTTGTTCAGTCAACTACTTGTCATTAAAATTGTCACTATAGGCGAATCCAATATATTTGCTTTTACTTACATTAGGAGACAAATTTTCTTTTACAAATAAGATAATTTTAACAATTGTTAAAATATTTAGGTAACCTTTTGCCCCCGCCTAAGTTTGTAATTTTTATTAATTAATTCTCTAAAAATTAATTAATTAATTATTTGAAAAAAGTATTGGATTATTTTCGAAAAGTATTTGTATTTGTATTTAAATTTAAATACTTTTTGCTGCTTGAAGTATTCCAAATATATTTAAAAAGTATTTTTATCATCACTGGCGTTAAATTAGTTTTCATTAAAACATTTTAAAACGATCTGTTATTTTATATGTATTTCTTATGTTGAATACAATTTAATATTAGGTATTAAAATGTGCGCTTTTTTGAAGAAATAAATATGTTTTTCAAATTTTTAATTTTTTAGTTTTCATATTTTAAATTATCTAATGTAACTTAGAATCTAAAATGTAACTTGGTAGGAAAGGTAAGTGGAATAGATAAGAATTTAATGATTCATACAAAATTCATGTATTATTCTGATAATCATGCATATTTCATTTAGTTAATTTTTAAGCAGCGTTAGTCTACTTCACTGTCTAACTCGTAAACATGGCATTAGCAAATTCTTCATTAGAGATAGTTACGATAAATACGGGCTTAAATGATTTTTCAATAGCATTATATAAGGTATGTAGGAGCTATTAATTTAGCTTCTAAAAATTTAAGAATAATTTAGTTTATTATTTTTACAAAATATGTGTTGATAAATATTAATATTTTTCTTAATAAATATAATTTAAAATATTCAGTTTATTGAAAAATAAACATTTTTTTATTATTAAAATTGTATTTATTTCTTAAGGAATTGCAAAAGACTGAAGGAAATATATTCTTCTCACCTTTTAGTATACAGCTTGTGCTGTTTTTAGCGAGCATTGGAGCCAGAGGAAATACTTATGATGAAATTATGAACACAATAATACTACCAATTCATCACAATGACGAACTAAACCAGCTATATAAGAATTTATTGATATCTATCAAAGTGATTATCTCTAAAATTAAAATAAACAAAGACCTTTCTGATATTTTTCAAGTTATATGTTTTTTTCTCTGAAGGTAAATAAATACTTAAAATTATCAACTGGATTGTTCCTTGAGAGTTCATTGGATATTGATTCTAACTTTACTGACACCGCTAAAAAATATTTTGATTCAACAGTGGAAAAGATTGACTTTAAATCTGATCCAGAAAAGGGGAGGCATTCTATTAACGAGTGGATAAGCGACCATACTCAAGGAAGAATTAATGAATTATTTGATTCCGGTTAATTGTTTTACTTAGAATTTTTATAGTTACTATATTGATTTAAATATTAAGTTTGATATTCAAAAATATGTAAACGCAGGTAGCATTACTTCTGATACTAAATTGTTGCTCGGTAATGCTATTCTCTTTAATGGAGAATGGAATACGAAATTTGAAAAAGATCTAATCAAAGAACAGCCTTTTTATTTAACATTGAACGAAACTATAAATATAAAAATGATGAATATAATAAATACATTCTTTTATTACAAAGATTCTAACTTTAACTTTTCTGCACTTTCAATGTTTTATAAGGTAATCTAAACAGTTATTCAATATTATATACATTTTATTATATTTCATAATTAAAGATTTATTTTAAATCATAATTTTATAATTCAAGGTTACATTTGAAAACATTTGTTTACCAGATTTTTGTTAAATACCATTAATATTTATATATGACCTTAAATAATTAATTCGATAATAGAAGTCTTTTCTTTAACTACAACCACTTGGAGTTAATTTTATTTTTGAACTTCAAATTCAATTATGATAATTTAGATAATTTTAGTAAAACTATGACTATATTTAATAATATGATAGTCATATTTTTACTAAAGAATTTTCAATTTTTTATGTCTATAATTAAAAATAGAGTATTTTTTTTAGAAAAGTAATTACGAATTTTAGGGAATGAAGTTTAGAATTATAATTTTGTTACCTGATGCTAAAAATGGAATTAGTGAACTAGAATCCAACTTGTCCAACATAAATGTATCTAATTTGAAATTTAAAACACATAATGTAACTGTGACTTTGCCTAAGTTCAAAATAGTATTCAACTCTGAGCTTAAAGACACTCTTTCTAAGGTAAATGTATTTTACTGCAATTAAAATTTATCTCAGAGTAATTAATTTTGTGTTTTTAGATGGGTTGTCCTACCATGTTTTCAAGTAAAGCTAACTTGACTGGTATTTCAAATTATGAAAAGTTATCAATTAGTAATGTCTTACACAAAGCCAATATTGAAGTGACTGAAGAAGGTACGGACGCGACCGCTGCTTCAGGTATATTACTATTTTATTAAAACTGATAATTTAATAATGATATAATTTATTTATTATAATATAACATATATAGGGTTATTGGTTTCTAATAGAATAAGATCACCAAAACAACAAGCAGTATTTCTGGCTGATCATCCATTTATTTTTTTCATCAAATACGAATCAACTACTTTGTTTATGGGCCGATTTATAAAGCCCTAAATATATTTTAATTTAGTTTTGAAAATTAAAATTAAATTTTGATTATTTTCAAAAAACTTTATCAAAAAGAATGATAAACTGTACTTATTTCAATACAGAAAAATAATACTAAATAATAAAAAATGTTCGCAATTTATTAAGTTGCTCGGGTTTTGATGATTTTTATTTTTAAATATTTGTATTTATTAGTGTTAGGAATTTTTTTGAAATAATGGTAATATTCTTTATTGTTATTATGCTATTATTTTATTATAAATAAATTTAGAAAATTTGTAATTCGAAAATTTTTGGTAATTTATTTTTATAAATATAATTTTTATCAGTTGTAAATATGTTTTACTATTCTTCCAATTGATATGAGTTATCGTGGAGGTAAATAAGTTCTCAAATTATGTACGTTTGAGACTTTTGATATATTTAATAGATTTTTCGAATTAATACAATTACTGTTCATGTTAAACAATTAACATTTGGATAACCAATAAATTTCACTTCTATTTGTATTGACTTCAATATCACAAAGAAATATTAAGCCAAATTCTAATATACTAGAATTATTGTTTTTATTTAATTTGTTCTTTATTGTCAATTAACTTCAATTTTTGAAAATTTTTCAAAATACTTTATTTTTAATAATTTCATTAATTTTTATTAAGACTAATTAATTTTTTCAAGATACCATAATTGTTGAAACAAAAATTTAGTCGTAAAACGAGACATTGTTATAAAATTTTAAAGCTTAATATTATACAAAGTTTAAGAATTATAAAATTCTAATTATATTTAAAGTGTGTTATTGAGAATTATAGTAAAATTAAAAAATAACAATAATAGATAGTTTTAAAGGCATATGACTTAAATAAGTTTATATATAAAAAGTTTATATAAGGTCTAAAATCATAGCTTCCATAAATAATGGTAATTAAAATAATATAACTGATTTGAATACTTAGTTACATAGGTTTTAATTCAATTAATAATATTAGTTTCTATAAAATATTTTTTTGTAAAAAAAACATCTTAGAGTTAAAATATTATATTTGATTCAGTAATATTTATTAGATTTAAGTTTTAGTTATTAATCAATTATTAATATTAATTTTTTGGAAATAATTGTTTTTTTATAAGTTAAAATCTTGTTTGTGTAAATATTAATTATCAGTAACTAATGATAATAAATTATGAAAAACACATTAATAGTGTAGCATAGGTCGCTGGTTGATAAATACTCGAAAGGAAATATTTAAAATTAAATCAAAATATGATTAGTCATTAAATTACTTCAGGGTGTTATAGCGTTTATTAACTTAAAGATGTCGATTGCAAATGCATCAATTGATATGGCTCTACTATATAAAGCCATAAATAAATTTTCATTTTCGTTATATGAGGTAAGTGTTAAAAATAATTTTATCTACAATTAAAGTTGATAAAAATGTATTTTGCATGGGGATAAGATATAAATAGAATAAATACCCGCAAGGGATTTCATTCAGCCGTACTATTTCTTACCAATTAAATTATATCTTAAAATTTAAATAAATACAAACATCATACTTTTTCTTGTGTAATTTTTATGCCTTTTTCCAACAATGGAGATGTTTTTTTAATGTGCACAACTTTTCTAACCACTAAAATGTTTTATTGATAATCTAAAAATTACGGGAATTTTTTGATTACGCTTCTTAAAAAATATTATAAAATGAATTTCTAAATCAAGATTTAAATATAGTAGATTAATTAAAATCAATTGGACATTCAAAAAAATATATTGTATTTTTTTAAAACTATGAAACACAATTGTATTTGATTGACTAAAATACTCAAATTTTCAAAGGAAATGCAAAAAACAGAAGGCAACTTATTTTTTTCTCCGTTCAGTGTTCAACTAGTATTATTCTTGGCTAGCATTGGAGCCAAGGGAAAAACTTTTGAAGAAATGAGGAAAGCAATTTGCTTACCAATAGAATGGACAAAGGTACTTCCATCTTATAAAAGTTTGTTGTCTTCTATTGATGAATCTCAGTATATTCAAGGAGCAAAAGAGTTAAAATTATCAGTTGACGTGTTCATTGAAAATTCGTTTGAAGTAAATAATAGTTATGTTGAAAACGCAATGAATTATCTTAATTCCACAGTAGAAAAATTAAATTTTAAAGTAGACCCAAACAAAGAAAGAAATTATTTGAATGAATGGATTAGTAAACATACAGAAGGATTAATTATAGAAGTATTTCCGGAAGGTAATTTAAAATGGTTTTATTTGTTAAGAAAATAATTATACATCATATTATATTTTATACATTTAATTCAAGGAACTATTAGCGAAGATACACGGTTAGTATTAGGAAATGCTATTCACTTCAATAACTTATGGCGTACAAAATTCCAAAAGGATCTGTTTAAGGAAGAACTATTTTACAATACATTAACAGATAAAGTTAAAGTAAAGATGATGACAAAGATATATGATTTTATGTACTACAATGATTCAAATCTGAAATTTTCTGCACTAAATATACCTTATGCGGTAATATTCTACATAAATACACTGATGTATAATTTTTGTTTACATATTAATTGTAAATTAAGTATGATTTTATTTTCATAATGTATAAAAAGTTAAAAACTCACATTTTTTCTATATTGTTTATTCTTTCAAAATAAACTAAACAAAATTTTTACAAACGCTAATGATTTTGTTAATATTTAATCAAGTTTAAATATATAATTTCTAATTTACAGAACCATAATTTTAAATTGATAATTCTTTTACCGGACTCAAAAGATGGTCTATCTGAGTTGGAGACCAACTTATCGGTAATATGTGAACTAAAAGATAAAATGACACTACATAATATTTCTCTTACCCTACCCAAATTCAAAATAGAACAGTCTTCTGAATTCAAAAATATACTATCTGATGTCAGTTTATTAATAATAATTTGATTGCAAACATTTTTATCAACTAAATTCTTTTATAGATGGGTTGCTCTAGTATGTTTTCTGATTTCGCTGACTTCTCAGGTATTGGTAGGTCAAATTCAACAGAGTTGCGCGTGACTAGTGTTTTACACAAAGCTTACGTAGATGTCAACGAAAATGGTACTACTGCTGCTATATACACGGGTGGGAAAACTACATACATAACTTGGTATAGATAGTTTTAATGAAGCCTATTTAATTTTCATAATGTTTCAGGAGTAAAAACTGGGATGAAATTTGGACACTACAAAAATTACGATCTGCCTAAAGCAACATTTATAGCAGATCATCCATTTATTTTCAGTATTTTATATAAGGACATTGTACTATTTATGGGACGACTGAAAAATCTTTGAAATTATATATTTACTTATTTTATTAATAGATTGACTTTAGTATTTTTTGAAATATTTTATTAAAATGTTTATAATAAATTATGTTTTATTAATTTTACTAGTGCGTTTCATTAATTATTTTAGACGTTTTCTGTTTACATAAATTTTATTATTTATACATTTTTTAAACTAAATTTCTCTCTAATAATTATTATAAATTATACTTAATAAGCTATAAATAATTACTATTAGTAACTATCTATTTAACGACTTCTTGAAGAGATGGAAGCATAAAGAGAACGTCCGTTAATTGAGAGCATTGACTACATGACGTAGTACAATTCACTTGTGTATAGTTACAATAATTAATAACCAGTTTAAAGCTATGAAAATTATTGTAGCTAAATGGTTAAATAATTATTTACAAATAGTTTAATAGTTACTTTAATGTAATGTTGTATTTTATTAGTTAAAAAAAAACATCCTCTTCATCTAAATAATTTCAATTGAATTTATTGAAAAATATAATTTTAGTTTCGATACGAAGCTTAGAAGGTATTAAATTTAACATGATGTATTTATTTTATTATATTGTTATTAAGCATTTATTTTTTAAATTACATATGAATTGTTATTAATTTTTCTTTAAACATATTTTATAACTAAAAAAGAATTTATTCAAATTAAATTTATTTAGCGAATTAAAATAAAAGTTTAGAATAGATTAGATATATATTTTTTTTTGATTGTGTTAAAACACAGTCTATTGACTAAAATTATTATCTTTTATTGAATTAATTATTTTGATTAAAAATATAATTGAAATTTTCAGCACAAAAATATCACAGTCACTATATTATTTTATGAACTAAATAGATAAGAAAAATACCAAGTTAAGAGAACCATTATTTGCTTATAGTAATTTAGTTTATTGTGGCATGCGATTCTGTTGAACATGAATATGGAGTCTATTAGTACACCTATAGAATTTTTACATTCAGCAAATAATAATTTCTCTTTATCATTGTATAGAGTAAGTATTATAAAATTTGTATAAATAATTCATTAATTATGTAAGCTAGTTAACAATTGTTTTATATTTATGTGTATTGAAGTGTTAACTACATTAACACATTACTATACATAAATATATTCTATCCAAAAAATAGTTTTTTATAAAATTGACAATTATACCACATTATAAATTCAATTATTGTAATTCATAAAATTACTTTTTTATATAGCAGCCATAAATTGATAAATTCAAGTAAAATATATTTTGTAAATCTGTATTTACTATTTAAAGTAGAAATTTCTTATACTATAGAACTACTTCTATGATTGTGAGATTTGTTTGTAAAATAGAAGTTCAGTTTTCTTTTTTATGCTATTTTTATTCAACAGTATAACTTTGATACGAAGCTGAAAAGGTATTGATTTTATTTTGATATGTTTTTTGTTTGTCTGTTCATGAAAATTTTCATCTCACACAGGACTCATTTTATTGATTTATGCGTTAAAAGAACCCGAAAATATTCTAGCTAAAATTATTGTCTTCAAAAAACGAAAAAAACACATCAATTTTAAATATTCAGTAAAATATCTTGAAATTAAGAAATTGCACAGTAGTCTGAAAGCAAAATTACGCGGCTGAAATTATCATGAATTATTCTCTAAAAACTTTTTATATGTTTTATATGTTTATATGTTTAATATGAATTAAAATAATAGTTACTAGTTTTTTTGTATAGCTTTTAAATATTCTAATTAAAATATACTCAAATTTACCTATTATTAAATGTGATACATTATTTGCGTCCTACAATAAATTAAAATTAAAAACTTGAGTACAGAAATATTTTTTTTTTCAGTTAAATTTTTTCAAAATGTTCTGACGCATCTAACAAATTGAAATATATATATATATATCATATAAAAACTTTTTAAACATTTTATATGATGAAAAACAACCCAGCACAGTGGGGACGTAGCATAGTTGAGTTCATTAGTAGATTTAATCTGAATGATTAAAATCACTATTATAATAAATACTTTAATGCAAATCGGTAGATATGTTTAATTTTAAAAATTTGATGGATTATACCAAAAGCAAAATGAATTCCTTTTTCTTTTATTATTCCTGATTAGTAGATTTTTTATTTATAAGTATAATATATGAATAAATACCAATTATAGTAATTATATTTAGTATTGAATTGACAATCAATAATTTAGTATTGTAATTTTTACGGAGAAAATATAAAAAATTATAATGTATTTGTATATTTTGTTAAATCTATGGTAAACGTATATCAAAATTGTAAGTATGAATTTACCGAAAAAAATGCAGTATTTTAGAAACATTTACTAAACTTAATTTGAAAAAGTTGAGTTTTGTAAAATAGTTGCTATGTTGAATCCCCCCTCTGGGCATATAAAAGGTCAGATTATCATACAATTTAAATAAAATTAAAAGAAAATACGTATAGTATTTATGTATAAAAAAATTATTTTTGTTTGTTTATTTTTCAAAAAGTTATGGCAGTTTTAAGTACCAAAATGTCATTGATTTTATACACGATAATTACATTTTTTGTTCAATTTTGACGGTCATGTACTTATAGAATATGGGTCGTCGGGACAAATTTTTTCTTGACTTATAGAACATAATGTAAGCTTTAATTTAACATATGTTTATAGAACGTAGTATTTCTCGAACATTTTCAAAAATTAAGTTGAAAAAGTTGACTTTTGTAAAAAAAATTCTATTTTTAATACCGTCCTGTGAGTAGGTTAAGATTTTCAAAAAAATGATATCAAATAAAAGGAAAATATTTTTCTAAAATAAATTTTACCAAGTTTCTTCAAACACATTCGCATTGAAGTCTTTTATGACAGGGATATTAATCAATGCGAAATATCAATATTTATTGGCGTACAGGCATAGTAAATGCATGTACGGGATTTTTTAAAATAATTTTTTTTTTTAATTAAAAGTTTATAAGATATTATTAACATAATTGTTTATAAATTTAATTATAAAAAGAAGTGTTAAAGTGATATAGGCATTATTATCATTGTTAAGGAAATTCAAAATACTAATGGCAACCTATTATTTTCACCACTAAGTATACAACTTGTATTATTTTTGGCAAGTCTTGGAACTAATGGAAAAACTTATGAAGAAATAAGGAATATCACACAGATACCCATAGAATGGTCTGATTCACAAGTACTTCTTTCATTTAAGAATCTTCTGAAATCATTTGAGGTAATAGTTAATAAATACAATAAAAACTAGCTTGTTAAAAAATTTATATAACCTATAGTTTTTATTTCTAGGATTATGATCAACAAGTAAAAGTTGCTACTGGAATATTTGTTGATAATTCATTTGATTTGAATTCAACTTTTGTTAATAATGCTAGAAACTACCTTTATTCACCCATTGAAAAATTAAACTTCAAAATTGATCCTATTAAAGTGAGAAATTACTTGAACGAATGGGGAAGCAAACTCACTGACGGTTTAATAAAGGAGCTATTCCCAGATGGTAATAGTTATTTGGCTTTATAATGTATTTATTATTATATACAGATTTTACACTACCAATTTAGGGAGCATTAATATAGATACTCGTTTTGTACTTGGCAATGCAATATATTTCAATGATTTATGGCAATCCAGATTTTTTATGAAAATTGTTGTTAAGGAAGAGCTATTTTATAATACATTGACGGATAAAGTTACTGTAAAAATGTTGACAAGTGTCCATGATTTGAATTTCTATAAAGATCCTATACTTAAATTTTCAATGCTAGAAATACCGTATTTGGTAAAATATTAGATATTAGATATATTTAAATGTATTAAGTGCTTTAGGAATTATTTAAAATCATTTTTAGTAATCATATTTTTTAAATTATTCAACAATATTTATTTGTTTTAACAAATAATGAATAAAAAATTCTAAAGGAGTTTTTTTTTTAATTTCGTATTGATTGCTCTATTATTTTTGATATTGACTAACGGAGTTCATTAAATGAAAAAATATGTATAGTTTATTGGACAATAACCTTAACCTATTAACTATATATTTTTTTATGCCTGTGATATTATCACAGTTTCAATATGAAAAATACTTTATTGATAGTTAAAATACTCAAAGTCATAATTAAACTCAATAAATATGATACTATTTTTATTTTAAAGTTAATATATAATACACATATTAATTTACATACTTTACTATAGTTAATAACACAGTTATTGCAATTAATATATTTAAATTAATTTTTAATTTGCTTATATAATAAAATAATTCTTTAGAACGATGATTTTAAAGTACAAATATTTTTACCGGATTTAAAAGATGGTCTTGCAGAATTAGAGTCCAATTTACCTAAAATTGTCGATCTTCAAGATAAGCTTACTGTTCATAATGTCGAATTAACATTACCGAAATTTAAAATAGAACATTCTCTGGAGTTAAAATCTATACTATTAAAAGTCGGTTAAAATTGAATGGCTTAAATACAAATTTTAATTAAATAATATTTATTTAGATGGGTTGTACCAGTATGTTTACAAAATTAGCTGATTTTTCACGAATGGTAAAATCATCTTCAACTGATGTACATGTAACAAGTATTTTGCATAAAACATGTGTTGATTTTAATGAAAACGGCACCACTGCTGTTGCATTATCTGGTATGTTGTTATTAAATCACCTCGCATCTTACATTACCTATAGGCATAAATAGTAATAAAACTCGAAATTTTTAATTTATTTGGTTTTTTCACTAACATGGATAAATAACATTCAGTTTTGAGGCAGAAAAATTTCGTTAATTTAAGTATTACTGTTTACGTAAAAGTGTCTTGCGAAATATTATTCATTAAATAGTGTTGAAAAATCAGTTTTATATTGCCTTTCATGAAGTAATTGTATTTTTCTAGTTATGTCATTATTCTTGACGTCAGACGATATACGTATGAAGTATATTAGCAATAAAAGCTATTCTACAATATTCATATATTATCTACCAAGTCTCATTCGCTAAATACAGAAAAAACAATATAATTATGCGAGTAATGCGATTTTTAATTTACAGGCTTTATATCATCATCGAAATCCGTCGAAGAGAGAAATTATGAGCCACCCAAAGCCATATTTCAAGCAGATCATCCGTTTATATTTACAATTGTTTATGATGAGATCACATTGTTTATGGGACGGCTTAAACATCTTTAAAATTTAATTTTATAATTATTACTTAATAAAGAACAAGTTTAAATTGAATTATTTAAAAATTGGCATAACACAATACTATTATAATTCATTTTTTCTATGAAAATAAAAATATACGAGTTCAAATATTTTTTTTATAAAATAATTATGTGGTTATCAAATTTTTGTTTTTTAAGAGACTAATTTTGTTTAATTTGAACTTTTTCTTTTATTAACTTGTTAGATAATATATTTTACATCATTTGGTGTATTAGTTTATAATTTATTACTGTAATAATTGTAATAGTATGAAGATTGATTCTACAAAGCGTTCAAATATAAACTTCACCGGGTTTTTCAGTAATAATATTGTGTAGTATTTTTACCCAACCATTTTTATCGGGACACTATACTTAAATTGTTTCTCACGTTAATTGAATAATTCAGTTCATGTTGAAAATCGATAGCGAAATAGTCAATGATGTGCGTTCAAAATTGAGTTCACGTTTAATACTGATGATTTTATATAATCTGTTATATATAGTAATAAAAAACTTAGTTCAAATTTGAAGAATAATACCAATAAATAAAAAAATATTTCATTTAAAATCGACAATGGCAGATGTAGTTTTTAATGTTAGTACATTGAGTACTGCTATTAACGAATTTTCATTTTCGTTATATGGAGTAAGATCATATTCTATTTGTTATATAAATATTTATAATTGATAATATAAATGTGCAGTTTTAATTTTTTTAATTTATATGAAACGTTTTACTTTGAATAGTTAAAAAAATATTTTTCATTTTATCATATATATATATTTAATATAATTTTAATATTACTCGACATTTTCTATTCATTTCATAGTATTTAGACTGACTAAATTTAATAAATATATAATGGTTTATGATTTGGCTTGTATTTAACGTTTTGTCACGAAGGGACAACACTTATTAATTGAGTTACACATTTTTGTTTTTTAATGAACATTCTTTACTTGGATATGTACAAGAGAAGAAGCACAAGTTATTTATATAGTTTTGTAGAAAATTTAATGCTTGTTTAAGTGGTCATAAAACCGTAAAGGCCACGAGTTTAGCATTATATGATCATTTTTTTTAAGCTGAACAACAGTAGTACTTTTTAATTATATTTAGAACTTTTTTTAATATTAACTTTTTATAAATATTTAAACTATATTATAGATGTACAACCATGAATGTGATTATTTTATTTAAAATTGTTAATATAAATCTCGGTTATGCTAAAATTATAATAATTGTCAACTAAGAGGCTAAAATATTTTATGGTATTTTTTTTATGTTTGTCTTAGAAAAAAAAAGCAGATTAAGTAGAAAACTGGAGTTGCTAGGAACTCCCTGGCACCCCTACGAGTGCGCCTATGTACAAAATGTGGCAATAAACAATAGTTGCTTATAGTAATTATTGCACAAAATATATTTTGTGCAAATATATAAGTCATAATATAATCATTTAATTTAACTGATATTATTGTCATAAAGAAATAAATAAATAATATATATATATATATATATATGTGTGTGTTTAATGTTTTTAATATTATACCATTAGTTAATTTCTTTCGTTAAATGTTTAACGTTTCTACATTTTTATAATTAATGTTAAAAGAGTTCGAAACATAATTCACTAAGAAAAGTAGTTTTTAATATAAGCAAATGATTAATTTTTTCTGGTATAAATTTTTATATAATTTTTTAAAATAATTTATTTTTGTTTTAATAAGAAGTATATTAGATAAATTGTTTTATGACTTGTGTTATGGATTTTTGTTTTATATTTTTCATTACGTTTTGACAAAAATTTTCTTTTTAAATGTTATAATTATAACATTATTCATAACGTTTCCTTGTAACGTTATTTGTATGTTTTTTAACACTTTAACTGTTATACATTAAAGTAAAAATAATAGTGATTGCTTGTTTATGATACATAACTTTCAAAGTAGTAAACAAATTTTATGTACAACACTATTTGTTAATTGTAAAAGTCTGCTACAAAATATTTTAATTTTTGTATCAGTTATAACTAATACAAAATCCACTTTACAAAAAAGAAATAAAAATCTATACATTTAAAAAAAATTTGTGTTTTATTCAGTTTAAAAGTTTTTTGACAAAATCTAATCGTAGTGTTTTAATATATAATCTATATGATTTCAAGAATAAACTTTTTAATTGGATTTTAATATAATACATACATAAAATTTCATTTTTTTTTTTAGGAATTGAGTAAAAACAACGAGAATATATTTTATTCACCACTTAGTATACAATTAATTTTGTTTCTTGCCATAATCGGTGCAAAAGATTACACATACGATCAACTTTTAAATATAAGTCGTTTGCCTACGGATCAGTCAAATGTGTTATCTATGTACAAGGAGTATTTATATAAATACAAAGTAATAAAATATTTTAGTGTTTTTTAGTAATTGTACTTATTTACATGTTTAGAAAAAATGTAGCAAATTAATCTAAATTTTTTTTTTTAGGATATTGCAGACTTAAAAATGACTACAGGAGTATTTATTGAAAAATCTGCTCAAGTTAATCAGAGTTATGTTACTACTGTTAAAGAGTTTTTGAACTCAACTGTTGAGGGTTTAGATTTTTATAATAACTCGAAAAGAGAAAAAAATTATCTAAATAAATGGGTTAGCAATTATACTGATGGGAAAATCAATAATACCTTCCAGGATGGTAAATTATTGAAAAAAATTTATATTTTATTAAAATTGTTCTATTTTCTCACGAGTATAAATTTATCTATAACTCCCATCTAATTTATTATTCTATTTTTCGAATAATTTAATTGGAAATTATATGTCATCTGTTAATATGTAGTTTTAATTCTTCATTGAATCCTATACTAGGAATAATAAATGAAGACACCCGTTTAGTGTTAGCTAACGCTATACATTTTCAAAGTGTGTGGGAAACACAATTTCCATATACTGTAAATGGTCAGTTTTTTATAAATTCTACAGATAAAATTTTAATATCAATGATGTGGGACAACAAAAAACTTTATCATTATAAAAGCGATGCTTTTAAATACTCAGCGGTTTTGATACCATATAAGGTAATAAGGAATTTTATTTTAACTAAGGTTTTAGTAATTTTATTGTAAATAATAATTACATGGGCCATTATAACAAATACTATAAAGTTCAAGGAAAATGTCATTTTTAAAAACTATACATAAAGTTTCCCTATTGGGTTTTAAATTTTAAGTAAAATATATTGTACGTATAATAAAAAAACATTAACCAGAAGTTATAATAGGTATTTTAACAATAAAATAAACAAAAATAAAATCTTTCCCTTCTATTAGGTCCTTTTTTATGCATTATAATATGAAATTTTTATTTTTCGGTTAAATAACTTAAAAGTATATATACATTTATTTTTGTGGTAGAATAAAATATGATAGATGGTATTAAAAAAAAGTAATTTTACCTTTTAAACAACAAAATTTAATAATAATGATATATTATTTATATTTTAAATGGTGTTTACAGGAAACAAAATTCAATATGCTCATATTATTACCAGAATCCGTAGACGGACTCGCTGATTTAGAATCTAACTTATTTAAAATACAGTTATCTGAATTGCTGAAGAAAAAAATGTCCCGTCGTATGGTGAAGCTTGGTTTACCTAAATTTCATATTGATAATTTATTAGATATGAAACCTATTTTATCTGAAGTGAGTTGTAATTCGATGTTTGAAGACATTTAAAAAGTAATTTAATTTGTCTTATTAATAGATGGGATGCAATGTAATGTTCACATCATATGCTAATTTTTCTGGAATGGCATCATTAGATTCTGGAACATTATTCGTTAGTAGTTTTCTTCATAAGACATGCTTGGATGTAAATAACGAAGGGACCGAAGCAGTTGGAGTCACAAGTAAATATTATTTGACATATGTATTTGCAAACAAAGTAATCTTCCATAGACATCTTTATGTTTTTTCAGAAGCTGTCGTAAGCCTTGAAAGGTCAGCTTCACCACACGAATTTAGAATTCCCAAAGTTAGTTTTGTGGCAGATCATCCATTTGTGTTTGCAATAATGTATCAAACGGATGTTGTATTCCTAGGCCGGTTGAATAACGTACCAAAAACAACAGAATTGACGTCGGAATAGAACTTTTTCTATTTTTTGATATTTAAGTCAATGCATGTTTCTTGAAATGACTAATTTTAATTACATTTATGATATTTTATTAATATGTTTAATTGACAATTGTAACGATATTTTAATCTTTTTTTTTGTGAGTTTTTATTTAAGTTTAAGTTTTACTTCTTTATTATCCGACAAAATGCTTTGTAACCTATAATTGAGTCATTAAGTAATAGTTTAAATGTGAGAAATTATCGTTTTAATATAACAATTAAAAATTTTAAAAATATTTGTCATATTTATGATTAAGTATTCTAAAATTTTATCATAGATTCATAACCTAAATGCTGTATATTTTATATTTGTACAGTATATAGGTAACATACATTATATATCAGCTTTTTGAACTAATAAGTCAATTAGTCACATTCCTTATTAAATGTGGGAAATTCATTCAATATTGAAATTATAAGGAAAAAATGTCTTCGAAATATTTAAGAATATTTCATAGAGTAAAGAATATTGAGTTCAATTAGTATATTTTAGAATATTTAGCAGAATTCGAGTCAAACAAACTATTTAATTAAAATTTTTATAATACAACAACTGAAATGAATTTATTTTCCATTTTATTATTTTGATTAAAAAAATTACCATGTATTGTACATGCGCTGTACTGTTCAGTTGAATAAAAACCAATTAGATTCTCAATAATTATAATTAAAATATATTTAACGAATCTTTTATTTATAAAATGTGTTTATTCAATAATGTAAAACTTTAGAGAAATTAAAAATATTTATTAATAACTAAAATTCATAATAATTTACATTAAATTATTTAAATATTTACTGAAAATTTTGATTACCGAATTTTTAAATTTGTATTTTATACGTTAGAAAATGGTTAATATTAACGATTTCAATTCCTTTTATAAATAAATTTGTTGCTTGACTCTTTAAATAAATAAAATTAACAAATTATAGCCGAAATTGTTTGTGTTCCACTAAACATTATAAGATAAAAATTCTTTATCAATCTATTTTATTATGAAATGTTTATAAAAAATTTAAATATTTATCATAGAAATACAGAAATTTTCTAATAACAATATAACAAACAAACAAATGTATTTATTTTAATTTAAAAATGTAATAGCTGTTATGACCAAAAGTTGATAAAATCTATTTATAAGCGTTACAAGTTTCAGTACTAAGTACTATTCATAAACAAAATAAATTTTCTTATTAGTCGATGAAATAACATATATTCAACTCTTTTTAAAAGTAAACGCTGTAACAGAGAAGAGATCTGAAGTAGCACCCACACTTCACCTTTTCAGTCATATCCTTAAATTGTTAATAACTTTTGGAGTACTCGTCCAATGGATGTTTTCGGTCCTTTCTATATTACATAATTTTCTATTTTATAAGATAGTTAAATCTATATGTTGCTATTTAAAAATAATAAAGTTGATATCCTTATAAGTTATAAGGAATGATGCTAAAAAGTATTCAATAGTTGATAAATCAAAAAAATATAAGTAACTAAAAAAATCAAATTTTTTTATCAACATTGTATTTATTTTGTGAGTAATTGGGTATTTTATAATAAACCCATCACTCTATATGTACAAATTAAAGTCATCCTATTGCTTATATATTCCTATAAATATATGTATACATTTCTATAAATATACATAAAAGATATTTGACTTAAAAAAATATATAATTATAATGATATATTAAATAGGAAATTAATTAAATGTTGGATGAAAATCTGTTTATTTATTTATACAATTATTTTCCATAGTTACTGGTTAATTAATTAAATATAACACAATTAATTTTTAAAACCTATATTTTGATAAAGGAAAAAATTATGTAAACTTTTTATTTAGATGTAACCAAATTTTCTTTTTAAATAGAAAAATAAAATTGAAAGATGTAAATTTTTTTAATTTATACGAATGAGTTCTAAAATTGTTATGGGCATTAAATATTATTAATTGTGTACCTCTGTTTTTTTCTCGCTTTTATCCCAACTACTTGGGTCGGCAATCCTTATTCAAAACTTCCACTTGACATGATTTCTCATATCATGTACGTTCACATCAACAGTCCTCATATCACATTCAATAACATTCCTTCAACATTTTTTTCCATAACTGTTCTTACACCTACCGATTCCTCTCTCCTAATAATATAACCAAACCATCTAAGGATATTTTCTCTCATCTTATTCTCGATTGTCGTATACCTATGCTCCCTTTTTATGTTCGTTCCTTATTCTATATTTTTTTGTCACGCCTCTCATATCTAAAAATTCTCATCTCTGTTATATTTTATCAACCACTAAACAGTCTGAACTATACATCATAGTTGGTCTCACTACAATCTTATAGAATTTACCTTTTAGCCTCATTGGAATTCTCTTATCACATAACACACCAGACGATTCTCTCCACTTCACCGAACCACACTTAAACTGTGTCATTCATCATCGTCAATACCACCGTTCTTTTGCACAACTGATATTAAATACTTAAATATTTTCACCTCACCAATTACGTTCTCGCTTATTGCCCCTAATCTCCTCATATCACCTACTTCGTGTTCTTCATGGTCAAACCCAAACGTACACTATATGCTCTGTCTATTAATTTTTTTTTTTAAATATATTTTCTATGTTATTCAAATTATTAACACGATTTTATTATATTTACTGCAATAAAGACGTTAAAAATTATATAGCCAAAGAACAACTCGCATTGTTTAATTATTTTTTGTATGATGGACTATATTATTTTTATTTGTACACTAAGATGTACTAATTTGCAAAAACAAAAAATATTTCGAAAAATGATAAAGCTTGGATCTTGGGGTATTTAAATTTATATCCTTATACTTTTTTTGTAGTATAAAACGTATTTTATGCACAAATTATAAATATTATTAAAAATAAATTACTTATTGTAAAGCATAAATTACGCTTTTCCATAAGTGTAATCAATATTTCTATATATTTTACAAGATAAGGTAAATTTAAATAGTAACACTCATGCATTTGTTTGCTTCACCTTATTTATTGAGCTTAGTGAGATTCAGTAAACTATAATTTATCATACATTGCAAGTATATATAATTAATAATAATAATAATAATAATAATAATATAAGTAGTAGTTAATCATATAATAATAATAATAATAATATAACTTAAATAGTATTGACAACGATGGCACGTAAAAGGCAACAATAAAGATTTAAAAATAATAACCAATTATATTCCGTGTTTTATAATACCATAAATGTGTTATAGTTAGAAAACATATATAACTAAAATTAACGAAATTTTAAAGGAAATTTTTTTTTTGTAAATTTGAAACATTATATTTTTACTCTTGGACTAATTTTTAAGTTATATATTTATATTTTTAATGTAAAGTATCAATGAATTGGTCATTTTTCCCATCTATTATACTTAAATTTATTAATTATGCAACAGTAGGTTTATTTGGAGTCGTAATAACTAAATATTAGACATTTATATTTCAAACAATAATTTAGTTTTATCTCAAAGAAAAAAAATAGATTAAATCACATAGAAATTTTAATAAAAAAATACATTTTATAGAAAAAAAACATACAAATGTAAATATCTCCACGGGGCTGTAACTATATAAAAGTTAAATTAAAATTAAAGTGGTTGCATTTAAAAATAACAAATATAAAAAACAAAATAATTTTCTTTTTCCTACACAATAAATTTGTAAAAAAAAAGATAAATTTATAATATATATAAATAAATTAAGGTGATTAACAAATAACAATAGTCAATATAATTAAACTGTTAATAGGAAACGATGTATAACTATAATTTAAAAACAATAATTCACATTGATAATTCCAAATAATAATTTATTTCCCTTATGGTTTTCAAGTCCTAACAAGATTTAGAATATTCCATGGTAGTTCTTTGTACACCTTAAAACAACTACCATTTATAATAATAATTTATTATTTTTCAATATAAATGTTTACAATAATTATAAATATCATCAATATATTAACCGTAGTAATAATTCTAAGGAAGTCAATTTTGTTTACGTTTAAATATACGTAAAAACACTTCTTAAACTATTAGAGTTCATGCTTATTGCATCTATTTTGTATATTCAGCATTAAAATACATCATTTTATTTAAAAAAATCATTATTAATGTTAAAATGTGCAAATCACAATTACTTGAAAGTGCTGTTAAATTTTCTTTTATTAAATCTAAACATAATTATAGGCATATCAATTAATGTAATTAATAAAACTTAAAGGTTATAATTATTCTTATCTGTTTGTCTACGAATTAAGGTATCGGCACAAATTACTCGCTAGCATTAAAAAATTATCACGTTTTGGGAAGAACCTAACCCATCTCCGTTATAATATAATTGTAAATAATATATAGATATTAATTTACAAGGATAAATTTTTTGATTTTGTATGTTTTAAATTGTACCTTATGGAAAATAATTTTTTTGAAAGGTTATTTGAATAGTCAAAATAAGATAGTACTACAAAACAAAAGTATAAAATAGTTTGTACAAATTGGCGATTTTTTTCTCTTGAAATTTGTAATGTTTTTTTATATTGAATTATATATTTTATAAAATAATATAAATTTTCTACATGAATATATTTGCACGGAATTATGAAGTCCATAATATATAGCAACAAAGAGTATAGTTATTTGAATGTATTCAACTTTAATTGAAACTATTTCATGTTGAAAAATGAACTTAACATTTATCATTTAACGGTTTACTTCATTAGAGTAATGGTTTTAAAAATTTGTTATAAATATATCCCAACTCATTTTTATGAGCTTTGTATACTTGAAATGTTCATATTTTATCTCTATAACATCTTATATAATAATTAAATAATTTGAATATGTTTAAAGTACTTATTAAATTATATACACGGCGGTAGTACATTATTTTACAATTATTCTTTTTTTCAGTATAAAACTCTACAAATAGTTAACTTAAATAATTTTCTTACTCATAATTTGTTTTAATTAAAATATCCGTCAAGTATTTGGACTTACAATAGTTACTGTATATAAACAACACGCAGAATGAATTCAAACTGTTCACAGTTTAAATGTTTTTGTTTTTAGATGGAATATTAGTTTGAATGTTAAAATTCATTTTTCATATTTGTTGGAGTCCAATTTCAGAGATATACTCTAATACACTTCTTTGTTATTTTATGGAAATAGTGTTTGTCTTAAATTACAATGGCCGTCTAAGATTTTAACGAAGTTGAAAAGATAAACTCTTCAATTAATTTAGAATAATAACTTTTTAAACATTTTTTGTTGAAGGTCTTTTTTTACTTAACATGTTTATATAAATAACATTTTTAGATTGATCCAGTAATTTATTAAAATTTTAATAATTTTTTTACATTTGAGTTTTTCAAATTTATGTTTCATCTATTGGTAAGATTAGCAGCAAGTTCTACTAAAAAGTGAATATGTAGTTTCGTGAAAGACCCTGCTGATATAAAAATTCTGTTTAGATTATTATAGCAAGTGAAATAAATTGAATTTAAAAAGAATAAATGTATACATAATTTATTTTACTATTATATTTAAGTGGGAATGTATTCTTAATTCTCTTCGTTGAGCTCTTACTAAACCTAAGTAAAAATGAAATGTGTATCAGTTTAATAAATTTAATTATGTTATCTATCCCCTCTTCTAGTCGGCTTCTAATAATACCAAATCATCAGCCACAACATCACTAATGTGAAGGTAAATGATCCAGTACATTAAGTTAAAGCAAACAAAACACACCGGAAACACAATTCTGGAGTATTTGTCGATGTCGCTTGGCGTGATCCCGTAGAGCTTATTGATGTCTTTACTAGGATGCATCACGTGTTGCGGTGGTGGCATTGGAGTTATGTTGTCATCGTCTCCTCTACCATTTAAGGTGTTTTCTAACGAACCTCCTTTTAGATAATTTTTTGAATCGTGAGCTTTAAACCGTACCTCCTGAAACAAATGGGGTCACTTACAAGAGGCACTGTGACTACTATTTTTTATTTTTATTAGCGTTATAATGTACATAACATATTTTTGTAATTTAAGATATTTTAGTTCATTTAATTATGATAACTTGTAACAGTAAAATTTAACTTACGGTTTGTCTATGAGCGTGGTCTATGTCACCAGAGAGAAGAGAACCTGGCAATGTACTGCCATGACCACCATGACTGTGCCGGTGAGTATCATAATGACTGGACAATGTACCATGTGAAGACAAACCATGTCCTCCTAAACTATGAGACAATGTACCATGACCAGACAAGGTTCCATGACCGGACAGAGTACCATGGCCGGATATTGATCCATGTCCATGGTGGTGGGAATGATGAGAGTGACTATGAGAATGATCGTGACCACTTTTCTTTTCTGCTATTTTCTGTATAGCTAGAAAACGATTTTTTCTCATTTGTATCCTTTTAGCCATGTAGCCTACAGTAGCGTATTCTGTAAAAAGAAAATGAAATGTCCATTCAAAGTCCAGTGAAGACATTTAAATTACTACACTACAAATGTACTAACCAAGTAATGATGCAAAGACCATAACGAAACACGTCCCTAAGTATACGTCTATAGATTTGACATATGAGATCTTGGGCAACGCAGCATTGGTAGAAGACATAAGCGTTGTCATGGTCAATACGGTAGTTACACCCAATGCGACTCGAGCTGGTGTAGCATTTCTGTTCAACCAGAAACTCACCCAAGATATGATGACGATCAGTCCACTGGGTATGTATATTTGAATGAGGTAATAACCCATCGATCTTACAAACTGGATTTCGCATGCCAATCTTGAATAGTTACCTTGAATTGAATTAAAAAAGTTAAACCTTGATAATATAAAATTATGATGTGCAAAAACATGTTACAAATTCAGTTAGTGTTATTAAATCATAATATAATATTTTCTTGGAAATTCTGATTTTATACTAAAACAGTAAGAATATTCAGGTTGCTTTAAATCAGTTTTGTACTTGCATTTTGATGTTTAACTTTTTTTCGTCAAGTTACCTGTAGTTAAGCTAATTTCCATAGCTCTTTGGCGATGTCCCAGCACTTTAAACTGGGGAAGAGACACTTCGTTAGAGACGCCAACAGAGTTTGGTCCCTCGTTCCACTTATATCGGATGTCTCTCATAGTATAACCAACTAGGGAATAATAAATATACCCCTTTGTTTAAAATCCATACGACAAAACTTCAGACCCACCCATCACGTTTCAGTAGAATTTTCCGACGGAAGGTTTAAATTAAGTTTATATTTCATAAATTCTAGTTTTTTTAGTGATACTTAAAGAAAATTTGTATTATATGTGATGGTTAGGTCATGCCAATCTACCTGTAGATAGGTTAATTTCAGTGGCCCTCTGTCTGTGTCCGAGAACTCGGAACTGTGGTAACTGCACTTCTCCACTAATGCCAACCGATGTAACACCGGCATTCCATTTGTACCGGATATCACGCATTGTGTAACCGACTGTGGAAATGCGAGAGAAATCAATATAGAATGTTATAGGTCACTTAAGTGTCGCAAGAAAAAAAGGTGACGCTATTATTTCTAAATTTATAACTAGAAAAGCGTTGAAGTATGTGTATTTGATACTTAAGTGCATGTTAAGTGTATACTTATTGAAAAATTTAAGTTACATTTGTATTGTAGTTTGCGATATGCAAGAAGAATTGTGCAGTGTGTTTGGTCCTTCTCTTTTGGCACGTTGTTTAGTGCTCTGTTCATAGTAGAAGGCCACCGTAATCAACCAAATACAGATAAATTTCGTATTTTATGTATAATTTTTTTACATAAAATATAAAAAATATATAATTAAAATAAAAGCAATATTAAGTACTTACAACTTTCAATTTCGATATGACAAAGTTGACGATCCATAGGGAAATATTGAAGATTCATGGGACAAGATGCTGTGATGGTTAATCTACAACAAAGTCGATTTTATAAAAATTAGATTGGTAACTGGGGGAGAATTCAAGTTGTATAGTTTACTTCGTTAAAAATATTTTTGATTATATTAAACCCATCTATTCGGTGTAAATATTTTCCCCTTAATTCTCATATTAAATATATCATCGATTTATCATTTTAATTAAATTAATCAATATAAAAACAAAATATATTTACTTTAGTTTATTTGATATAAACCAAAATTTCATTTTTATCTCGTAATAATGAGGGATAGGTTATTACATGTATAATTACCGAATACTTCGAGTAATACTGCCCGAATGGTGTATTCTTATAAATTCGTTGCTGGTGGTCGCTATGTGAAAATACGACTGTTTTTCATTGACAAAGAATGTATCAGGTACCCAGATGTTTTTTATGAACTCTGATCCTACCGAAAGCGTTTCCACTCCTGGTCGTTTTTGAAAACCCAGTCGAGGATCAGTCCAAAATTGTCTGAAGTAAAAATCTAACGTGAAATCCTATACAATTAAAAAATATGTTATTTATAATATTCTGAAAAAGATTAATTTATTTTACTGTAACCAAAGACCTAATCAAACTATTTACCAAAATAAATTAATAATTTCAAAAATTTAGAACAATGTATATTATAATTTACAAAAAAAGACAATAAATGCATTATTGAAGTAAATAATATTTATTGTTTTTGTAACATTTAACTAGGAATACCTCTCATATACAGTAAACGGTGATTATAAGGAGATTTATATTTTCAAAAAGTATTTTTTAGATAAAATTAATTGATATACATTTAATTATAATGTATCCCAGTAGTTTGATTGTCTTGGTTTGATTTAACTACAAAATATCTAAATATTTTATTAAAAGTAATGAAAAATAGAAATGAGCAAAAGAAATATTAAATCAAATATAAAGTTTTTCATTGAAAAAATTATAAATGATTTCTTTAGTGAAAGAAAAAATCTAATATTTAATATGGTATTATATACCACAAGAAACTGTATAATATAATAATGTACATGCTATTATTATTAAAGGAATAAAAATGTCGCGTGCATGCAGCAAGCACAATTCAAAAGTCAATGTTTTTTTACGTGCGTTCGGGCTATATCCATTTAATATAAATTTCTATACAATAAATAATATACGGGTGATATTATTATGAATGCTTGAATATTGCGTGGCATGCAACCCGTCTATAAAACATGCAGCAAACATGCAAATTTAAATAATTTTCCGTGCACCATTTGGCCGGTACAACGAAACATTTATAACAATCAATGTCAAATGGTGTCGAGGTATTTAATTGTCAAAATAATTATCGTAAGTTTCTTTTGATCTACGATTTGTTACCTGTTTATAAAGGTTTTTTCGGCTTAATTATAAAAACTAGTATTTCATTATTTTCACTTTAAGTGTGAATTTATAATGACGTTAGCTTAGAATTAATTATAACTCTAATTGCGAGGTAATAAAATGTTATTGTATGCGTTGTAAATCGAGGAAAAATAAGATAGATTTGGCGCCATTTATCAGTTTGGTTGTATATAAAATAATATCTTTTTACTACACGCTCAGAATTATATTTTTCATGACAAATGATTTTATTTAAGTTTTTTTATTGTTTTTTTTTTTTTTACAAATTAAAGAATTAAATGAAAAATGTATTAACTTATATAAAATAATAAAAAGGTAATATTTTGTGTTAATAATCGACTTGTTTAAAGAAAATTCGACTTGCTTAACACAAACATTTTTCCTTGATCAAAGTTAAATCTCAGCTTATGTTTTTTAACACATTCGTATTAGCTAATGTTCATAAATATTTTTCTGCGACCTTTTTAAAATATATCAAGTGTAAAAAAACACAAAATATACAAATTGGCCTTTCTCTTCTCATTACATTTGGTGGTTTTTTGGCCTATACCCATTTAATGCATTGCGGCGTATAATAAAGGTCGTTTCGCGTAAACTTTGTTTAAACATACAAGACAATAATCAAAAGTAAAATGTATTGTATAAACACATTCACGCACATTTCCAGAATAACCAATTATGCGCCTGAAAAAACACGTTACTTGTTTGCGACTGTAAACATAGGGATGAGAATAAAATTGGTCGCCTAGAACTTTTACAGGTTAATGAGTCTAGTGAATAATCTTGGCAAAACATGCAAAATTATCTCTGTACACACACAGTCACCCTTCAAGTATAGTTAGGGGTTGTTTTGAACTAAACAGTTGAAATATTATATTGTTTTTATTAATAATCTACCTACAAAAAGATAGTTAGTATTTATTTTCTTTGAATATTTACTATTTTTGATCAGGAGAAAGTAATAAATCAAAATACAAAAACAAAATACAATAATTAAAACAGAAACATTAAAATAATTTATTCTTTACTACATCGCAAAAACACAATTTATATCACACAGAATCACATCTTCAAACGGTCCTGTATTAAAAGAATAATTTCTGTTTTGACATATTTCAAATGTTTTAGATTAACAGTGTGCTAGTTTGAAGCACAAAACCACATTCTATAAATTTTATCACTTTACAAAAAAAAAAAAAACGCGGAGAATTGAGTAAATTAAATATTAATTGTTAATAGATGCTGTATAAATAAAACTATTTTAGTTCAACTGAAAATATTATGTTCATAAAGGATACGATCTAATATTGATGTATAAATTTGTTAATTATTTACATTAGCTACCCAAAAAACGATAAAATTTGAGAATGTGGTATAAGTATAATATGTATATATTAACAAACATTTTAAGTCATCAGGTGATTCGAAAATACTGTGTTATATATTATTTATTTTTTCTAATTCAGTAGTGAAAATTTTAAGAATCGTTGAAATTTGAGCAAAATAATAATAATCACATTTTAATTTACATTATTTTAATGGCGTTTGTTAAAAAAAAAAATGTTGAATTCGAATCACCTCTTTTATTTGGCATATGCAGGTTTAACTCGAGTTGGTTGATTTTTTGCAGGAGTACACTCAAAATGCAAACGCCGAACCAACCGGTTCTCCCCAACTAATAGGAATAACAGAAATCATATGAAGTTTATATAGGAACTGTTGATTATGAAAATGTAATAAATTATTTTTTTAAAGTTTGAGAGTTGGCTGATAATATCAGTTGTGTGTATCAAATTTCGCATTTGTGTAACGTTTTCGTTAAAGTAGAGAGGTTCTCGGGGTGTGGTTTCCGAGTGCCTTGTCGAAGAACGGATGTGTGTAGAATCCACACTATACACGAGGACAAGTAACGGAAATTGTAATATCCGAAATTCTTTTTTTTTAATGTGGTGATGAGTGTTATTGCTATAATATAACATACGATTTATAATATTAATTCAAAGTGAATTATCAATCTTTTGAACAATCGGAAAACACTTTTGAGCTTGGATCAGTAGTCCTACATTGGCATAGTCGGCGTTCTTATTTTCGGAAGAATTTATCAAGAAGATAGAGATGAGCAAATTACATCCTTATGTAATGTAATATTACATTATTACAACAATGTCAGAAGTGTCAAGGAGTGGCGCCGGTTGGCAAAGCAACGGATTTGCATGCAGGGAACGTCATATGGTTCCTTTATAAAGAAATGCAACACATACCACGTTTATGGTATTGCTTTCGGTTTACATATAAGAAAAATAAAATCAAAAATGTTTAGATTGGATCAAAACAAATATTTATAAGATTTTTGAAAATGAAGAAGCAGTAAAAAAGCGGCAGTACCACGACGAACGGATTTTTGGTAAACACAGCTTAAAATTAATCACAAAACGAAAATGACAATTGAACACTATTTGATATTAAAATCGTATTTAAGTCATTAATACGATAATAATTAACAATTAATATTTTTTAGTAAATTTTTGTACCATTAGTACTTCGGACACGGAGCTTATACTGAGAACATACATGGTGACTCCAACCTCTACTGGGGGCCCTGTAATAATATGTTAATATTTCAATACTAATTATTTATACTATTTTAAGACAGTCCAATATTTTTATGCTGTTACAATAATGAGTATTTTACTGTAGTTAAATTATTGCGCCATTGTATAAAGCTGATTCAGTTGTAAAGTTTAAACAACGTGCTAGATTTAAAATATGATATAGTCCTTTTAATGTTACTTAACATCAATATTTNTAAAATATGATATAGTCCTTTTATTGTTACTTAACATCAATATTTGTTTAAATTGATAAACTTGTTAACATTTTATTGATTTTTTTTTTGTCGAATTTGTTATAAAAATACGTAGAGATTTTTTTTCATTTCAATGGGATTTAAAATATTATATTTCAAATTATTTTAAAAACATTGTGGTAAAACTATGTCTCCAACAATATTATGTTGATTCCGAGTATAAATATTCAAACGTTCAGTCCTTTAAATCGCACTCTAATAGAATGTTAGTTTTGCCGTTAAATTTGGTATTAATGAAAAACAACAGATAGATTACAATTTTTTTTTTATTAAAGAACGATTTCATTGAACCTAGTGTCACTTTTAATATTAATGAAGTTTCAGAAGACTAAATATTATTAATTTGTCAATATAATTCCGTCCGTATATGATCAGCCGTCATGAACCACGTCAAACCTTTAGAGGCCCTTCTTCACTTGGGAAATAGTACAGGAGTAATAATTGGTGTTGTCATGATGTATATCTGACGACGACCAGAAATAATTGAAGCAGAACGCTGCGGTCCTAGTGTATTCGCCCGAAGGGACTAGTAAAAAGTCTCATGGCACTTACATACAAAGCGTATCTAGGTCATGTTTTTCTAACCCCGTCGTGACGGCGCCCTCCACATTATACAGCCGCACACATACACTCGAGTGCACGGATACTGAAATGGCCGTTATAAATTTCGTTCTACGGGAGTCTGTGGGTTGTATATCGCCCGAAAAGATGTTTTGGTGCAATCCGAGTATTAACAATCTAGTGACCAGTGCTTAAAAATAAAAGATAAAACACTTTGCGGAAATAAAAATCAAAACAATAGCTTCATGTGCGATGACAGATTTTATATATTACCAATATAAATCCGGCAAAACAGTAGTGACATAATAATAGTTATTTATTGTTTTTGTCCTACGCAGCCCTGACATTAGTTTTATAAAGTCGAATTTTCGTCATCGGCGGCGTCCTTTCGGCTGATAACATATTCAAAGAGCGTATGAGATTTTACATTTTTCATGTCGGATCGCACACGCGTTTCTGCAGCAACCGCCATCGTCAGCGTCTAGCCGAAGTGGAACCCCATGAATACCAAACGATTCGCCTTCAATAATGCAAAGCCGTTTCACGGATAGCTCTACTATTGTCACTACAATACCCTACTGCTACTACTGTTACTACCACCGAACAAATGTACTCGGAATGTTTGATGTTTACCTATTCTTAACGCGCTATTACGTATAATGTGCGAAAATATTACTTTTCAGAAAAAGTAAGTGGTTTAGGATGTCAAAATTCAATACGGATAAAAACGTGTACGTTTTTCTATGTAAAAATATCTTGTTTTTAACCGAGTATACATCAATCATAACCAGTGTTTTTAGTTCGCGTTATTAAAATTGCATTCTATTGGATTTTTAATTTAAAAATATGAAATACCTATAAAGCCTACTTAATGTCATGTCGCAATAATAATAATTAACATCATTGCGTGTTTTAACTTAGGAATAGGGCCCAAGTCATAATTTCAATTGAATCGCCTTAAAGTGTTTGTGACGTTAGCATGACATTTTATATGACCCAATTTCGCAAGTAATTAACAATTTTTCCATTATAGTAAAGTGCATAGGTAAATTGTTATCACCTCTATCAAACTTTTTACTCGAGAGAATCGTTCAATTATTATAAATTATTAAAAAAATAACAGTATACCTAAAATAAACCTAAATTTAAAATTTACAACTAAAAAATATCATAGAATTACTGAGTAAAAATAATTTCAATAATCTTTTAAGTAGATTAATTGTGTAGGAAATTGTTGACAGTCAATTTAAAAAAAAAAAATACGTAAAATTTGATTAAAATGAAATTTACTAATAGTCATCATAGTTGTACATTTTATATTACCTTAATATTAATAAGAAATAAAGTTTTAAATTTTCTAATTTAGCTGTATATTATTTCTCATAATTTAACACGGTAACTTACAAACTTGGAAATAGTATGTTATAATTTTAAGCAGATAATTTTAGTTTTAAAAACTATTTAATTAATTTTTGTGTACATTTATTGTTTTATATAGTTTATTCCAGATTACTTTTGTGACTCTCTTGATATTTCTGGTTACAAATATGTTTCAAAATATGAATAGTGTATGAAGAATTATGGGAATACTATGTGTTGACTTTTTGTGTTATGTTGTAAACAGTACGAATGCCGATCGAAATTATAATTTTTCATTTTAGTTCCTGTTTGTGGAATATAAATTGAAAGCAATAGAAATGATCACCTACCAAGTTGAACAATAAGTCAAAATCTGTCATCTATTATTATCAGCATCGTTCATTTGCTAATCACCCTAAAATTGTATAGTTGTCATGCCAACAGTCAAGTAATTTTGCGATTCGATTTTCGGATAATTATAGTTTAGCTATCGACATTGAAATCTATTGTTTGTTTACTTTAACTACATTACTAAACTTAAAAATTAAAACTATGACTAAATTTATAATTATGATTTTATGTACAACTATATTTTTTAATACGAATAGTGATACTAAATAAATGATTTTATCAATATCGTTTCTATTTCTCTCGAACATAATCTATAATTTCTGCGCTGTTTTTTTTTAAATATGATAGTATACTATCATGTTTAAAAAAACCCGAGAGAAATAGAAACGACCGAGTTTTAGTTATAATATATATAGATTTTTTAATCTTTTGAACTACTATTTAATAGACGTGCTCAGACCTTACGCTAGAAATAAAGCGTTTATATTTTTGCAAATATACTGACATTGGCGGAAATCACGGGGTACTAAAGGACTCTAAGTATTTAATAACTTCTCTAGCTTTTCCATGGAATTTTCTAAATTACATATAACTTCGTACAATCTGTTTAATTTTATAATTTTTATTTAGTCCCTGAAATATTTAGTTAGATTTCCGCCTATGTTTACTTGAATAGATTTATAAATAACATATAAACTAATGTATTATAAAAAGAATGCATGTATTATTAATAAATTACTTATTTACGTTTATAAAATACAATTTTAGCGTTTCATATATAGCTGTCAGCTTAATAAAATAGAATGGTTACATCTATAACTAACTTGTAAGTGAGAAAAGGTAAATTTAAGAGCATTGAGCACTTTGATTTACTAATAATAATTATAATTAAGTAAGCCAAAGATATTTAAATTAAACTTCCTAAGCTAAGTTTATGAGTACCATTTTGACTTCGGATAATGAGCTGATACTTAACACGTACATTGTGACACCGACTGTGACCGGTGGACCTGAAAATCCGGACATATTACAATATTTTACTTCAAAAAGTGCTCTTTATATTTTAATATAAATAATTAATTAATACAGTATGAGAACTAATGAAATTGACTACAATATTTCATTAAAGTTTTAGCTTAGTCCTTCTCTTAGACACTTGTTAGGGGTGTATATTAGAGCATCAACAATATGCAGCTCTCAAAGAGCGTATACAGAGTGAGTATAACACTATAAATGTCTTAAAGTCTATAAAGGACCTGAAATTTGAAATTAAATAGCAAAACGTTTTCATTTACTTGAAATGACTTTCAACATAGGGTAGGTATATTTACTTACACGCGATCACGTGATATCACTTAATCGTTTTTCTATCTACCAGACAAATAAAAAAGTTAAACACAACGACGCGCACATGCTAGGAAAATTATATTTCATAACGTATTCATTTTGTACACGAAACCATCGCGCTTTATAACACATTTATATCTGTGAAAATGCTTGTCGTGACAATAAAATACATAAGTGCGGTGTTGTGTGTAGTACAAATCACTTTGTAACAAAATCTTTTTTAATTATCTGATTTATTTTTTAAGTGAAAATTAATGAGAAGGGTAATAAACCAGGTGATAAATTAATGTTAATAACTAAACATCAAACCTTCTTATATAATGTTTTTCTAATAACACGTTTAGAATTGAAGCAAAAACTATATAATGCAAGTAACAAAACATTTGATTTTTCCATATTCATATGTTTTGTGGATCAGGATATGCTAACTTGATCTGTTTAATAACTTCCAAAAGCGATACACTAATTAAGTTTCATAAGCAAAAATAATATTAGCCGAATGTAGCAATAATTTTTATTTGTACGGTTATATATTTTTCGAAATTGAGAAGTTATAGGCGTGATTAAGAAAACACTCTAAAATTTGATGGATTAAAATTGTTTGATATTATTTCATACCCAAGACAAATGCTCATTGATTCTACAACGTGCTGATAGCAGAAAATACGTTTACAAAGCGGAGAGAAGTTTGCAATAAGAATTCAATTAATTTATATTTAACTTCATTTTTCTCCTTTTTTAAAAAAATCATTCAACACTTAAGAGATATTTTAATACTACTCTATCAAAAGTATTATCATAAAGAATGACGTGTACAAAAATAATGAAAATTAGACAAAAAGTTTAACAAAACAATAACTATAGAAAAAATTAAAAATAATAACAAAGTAAAACATAATTTTTAATAATGTTTTAATTGTGATAGATTATTATTTTTAAGTGTACCATTTGGACTTCAGACAAAGAGCTGATGCTCAACACGTACATAGTGACACCGACTTCGATTGGCGTACCTGAAATTTGGTACATTAATAAAATATCAAATAGACAAACTTCCAACTATTTTTTTCAATGTCTAATTACTTTAATCATCTTAATATAAAATATTTTAATGGGATCTAATTTTTATAAAGTTTAAGTGTTTCCATTATTATTTTAAACTATAAAATAGTGTAGTTAAACAAGTAAAAATTTGATATTAACTATTTTTGAAGTCAACATATTTTGTTTTTAAATAATTTACTAAATTTATTAAAGTATTATTTCTAATTACTTGAACACAGTTTACAATTTATCGTCGCAATATGATTACTTTATAATTTTACTTATTTAACATTTTTTCATACGAAGCATTTAATAAAATCTACTAACTAAAAAATGAATTAGTATATCTTATTTAATTACCTGGTAATTTATAGTGTAATGATTTAAGTCAGAAGTTTTTATTTATTTGTATTGTTATTATTACTAATTACGTATACGTTTATAAGTAATATAACGTATATTTTTATAAAATTAATTTAGAGATGAAAAGATCAACAGAGTAAAAGATGGGAATCAAAAGATACGCACAACGAAAGATTTTCAAAGACGTGCTTTGGGTATATAATTACATACTGTACCACCATAATCAATATTATTTGGAATTCTCTAATTGTTCACGTGTGGGCGTTTCTAATGGTCCGAATTTAATCGCTCTTCAATTAGACCCCCTCCAAATCACACACGTACAAGTATCAATAAAACCACTGACGCCTTTCAATTACATTAATAGAGCACATAATCAGTGACGACGCAAAGGCATGGCAAGCGGGTACGTGCCCTGGACCCCACACATGGAAGTTGTGCTGTATTTTTAGGGGGGATATACACGAGAAAAATTATTATTGACCTTTAAACGATTAATTATGTTATCATTATCATGTAATTTTATTTTAACTGTAGGATCTATCGCAATTCAACCCCCTTCCTCCTGAAATAGGAGGCCCGAAATTATAATTTTCCGAAACTTGTAATACTTATCGTCGCCATTGCACATGATAATATAACCAAATGCATTTTCACGAAAAATTATTACCCGAATATAAAAAAAAATATAAATTGTTGGTTAAAAGTATTTATATTAAATGTCAATTTAAACTTTCGTCAACTTATTATTTAATCGCTTAAAATAAGATATGTTTTTCAGTAATCAAAATTTGATGTACATGTACGATTAAAAATTATAATTAGTTTAAAATTAGATATAGGTGTTTAAATAAAAATTTATATTAGTTTGAAAAACAAAAATAAGCATTGGAAGATTGTTTAGAACGGAATCTTAATCAGCTTGTACGACAAATTAAGTGAAACTTTCGATGGAATACTTTGACATTTTTACTTGTTTGATTGTCAAAAAATATGTAAATTATAACTTTTTGATATCGAAGAACAGATGAAGACAATGACAGAGCGCTAGTAATTGAATGTGGTTGGACGAAAAAACAAACAAGGCGATATGTTGTAACATTATACCACAAAATGCAGGTACAAAACTATTGGGTGTGAAGTCTTCAGTATATTCGTGGTGTTGAGGAGAATGAAGCCAACAGGAATGGGAAAAAATAGCGCCCGCAAGCGGATGAAACCGAAAGTAAAGCGGCAGTGGTGGGCGCTACAGGTCAAATCGATTTCGGCGGCACAGAGATGATGTGGGACCAAGTTTATACGCCCACACGCTGCTATAGCTCAGCCACCACTGCTGTTATTGCCTTTGATACACAACTGTCTGATATTTACACATGAGACTATTCCCACGAATAATTAGGTTAATTGTGTACCCTATGACTTAAACACCTATTCTAATCTTACTCACTGTACTTGAATATCATTGACAAAGTCTCATCAAAATATGCAGCGCGTATCATTAAATGTGCAAGGAGTAATGTAGAAACAATTCGTCAAAATGTCGAACGACGAATTTGATAATAGTGATGCAGGATGGCGTATAGACAATACTTAGAGATTAATATCATGATAGGTTAAAAAAGATATGTTCGCTTTCTCGATATTTATTTCGAATCAAAAACTCTAACGACTGGTGTAAGATGATAACTGATCAGGCTTAAGTATACACTGACCTATATAATCGTTGAAAATAATATGCACATACGCATAATTTTTCTTTAATGGCTATCGTAAAATAAAATGCTTGGAATAAAAATGTTTTTAATTAGTTATTATTGTTTGTTTCTTACGGAATAACACACTCACCTCCATAATTTGGTCTTACACGTTTGTCATAACTTGCGCTAAACGAATCTAGTATAGCAGATATATTGACGTCACCGAACATGCTGCTGCCTGGAGCACTGAAAAATGTTAAATGTGTCACATTAGCCTTTATAGATAGAAATATTGCAATATTATAATGCAATGAGGTTTATTCGTCAACTGAAAAAGCTTTTAAAGTGGTGTGAACATTTGGTAGTCAGTTAACGAGCCAAAGACGTGAATGAATAATCAAAAGAAGTCGGCAATATATTTTTTAGAATAGTTTGTCGAGACGGATCAACAGAAATGAAAGAAAAAATGAAAAACAGTTTTGTATATAGACGAAATCGTCGCGTGAAAAGTCAACGTGTTTACTGTGCTTTGTATGGTTTACAGAAGTTTTTGAGTGACGCACGATTATGTAAATTTCCTTCTTAACAAACAGGTCACCACTAAGATAAACATAACCGTCAAAATCCTACTCGGCAGTTTGATAAATTATTCTTATCATCTTTGTCGTAACTACTTTTTTGTGGATATTTTAATACTTCCGCGGCTCAGTATGACCAATTTGTTATGTTTCTTTTTAACTTTTCAAGAAAACGCGTTCATTTCTTATTCAACACTTTTTCTTGTTAGCCAATTTATGTGTAAAATTAAGGTCTATCTAATGTAAGGTATTATTTCATTTTTGTAGAAATTGCCGATTGTAAAATATTATTTTTAATAATCGAAGAGCTATTTGTAGGCGCATCAAAGTAAATAGATAAAACAAAAGATGTAAACAATACGAAAAAAATGTTTAACCAAGTCGTGGATCATGCAACCGTATTACAATTTACTAAAAAAAAAAAATAATCGAAACAGCTCTTTTTGTGCTTGTCACACCTGTTGGTATAAAAATTGTTTACTGCGATACAACAGTAGACATAAAAACAATGTCATTATTTAAAACAATCCGTAAAATATGGATCTTGTACTATGAAACGGATCAGCTTGAATGACGTATTTATTGTCATTTCATAAGCGGCCCGTTTAATTCTGCGCATGTTAATTGTTGCTGCACAGATCGATTAAAAATTAACGTAAATTTACCGTACCGAGCGCCGGTTTGGTTAAACGTTCAATGTATAACGTCGTCATCATGATTTATGACTATTGAACACGTTGTCTCGCGTGTTTACGGTCGTATTATCGGCGAGCAATAAACTAGAGTAGTAAAAATCCCTATGTCATTGGATTTTAAGTCCAGATTTTAGTGAAATGTTCCGCAATTAAGGTCATTACTTAACTCAAAGCGTGTTTTTATTTTTAATAACAAACAACAATTGTTTTTATAGGTTTTAGGTACTCCATGTTTATTTATTGATATGCGTGTCTTTCTCATTTCGGAAATTTATGCAGAAATTCGTAAAGAAACACTTGTAAAGTTCATCTTTTAGTGGAAAAATATTGTTGATTAGTTTATCGTGATACGGCGTTGGTGTAAATAAAAATAACGAAAACGAGGGAAACTAAAAATAAAAGTTGGCATTAAGTAACTGTTGGGATTTTCTAATATGGTCGATGCTTGTACCAATATTTATGCAATAAAAAACACTACCAAGTGTATAAATTATTTGGACCGCGGTCGACGTTGTTTGTATTCGACTGTTAGCTTTATCGCGGCAGGGAGATGACACTGTGGAAAACTCATTTACAAAGATTGTTTTATACTTGGTATATTTTTATTATGCGGAACATTTTTCGATAGCCATTAAGCATCGTTGTGTTGTAAGTGCAAAACCCTTGAAAAGTCGTAGCTATCCGCTTGATTGTAATAAAAACATCTACGTTGAAAACATCGTTTTTTTTTCCGGCGTTGAGCGAAAATTTAACGAATTCAAAGGTATATTCAACAGAGAGAGAGAGAGAGAGAGAGAGTGGGTCCCTCGAGTACCATATTTCGAATGGAGAGACAATCAGTTGTTGCCGTTATTTCAACCCAATCTATTTACCACGTCTACCGGATTTCCAATATAATCTTAAAGGTTCTTCAGTGTAATACACTGTCAGTTAAATGAGTGGATTATTTTAAATACTCACGCGGCGTGCACGTCTTGCGCGACCGTTAGAAAGGTGACACAGGCGATAAGCCATGCCGATACACTGCGTGCGGCACGGCCGGTCATCGCGGCTGCTCGGGCGTGGCGTTGTCGTGGTCGTACATGCTTACGGTTACACGGGCAACTGCTGCGGAGACACCTGCAGCTGCGGCAACATTGGCAGAAACATGCACTTGTCGCCGTGGGGGTTGTTCGCGTTTAACTGGTACGCGCGTACGGCGGCCACTACTTTAGACTTTTGGTGAAAATCATGCAACGGTATTTTTATATGCGCACTGGTATCAAATTATTTAGTAGAAACTAATTGAAATCTGTCGACAACACATTTTTTTATGACACAAATAATCTGCACACGAACACGATTCACTGTATGGTCCCGGCGCGTCAAGCGATCCCGGAGCTCTCTCCGGGTGTTTGCAGTGCTTACCCACAAGCAGCTGCTCATCGGCAGCAGTGTACGATGCCCACCCGAGGGGGTGCCGCCCGGCGCACGCGAGACCAAGTACAGCACACGCGCGGCGACTACCCTCCGGCGTGCCGGGCACCACGCCGCCGCCGTATTGATTTGGTGGTGGTGGCGGCGGCGGCGGTGACCTCCCCTGCCGTCGTCTCTTGTGTTACCCTCATCCTAACCCAATATCTTGCTTACTAACGCCACATTTAATCTCCTTGGTCACTGCAAAACAGCTATATACAAATTTGCAATAGTTTCTACGTATACGTACACAATAGTTGTTAATCGAGAAAAGACATTTTAGTTGAAACGTGTTGAACAAAATTTGTTCAATTTTTAATTCATAGTGAATTCGCAAATGACGTGTTCCAACACTTATTAATTTACTTACAGCCGTATAGACCAGCCTAATATGATCAACACGTCATATTTTAATAATTATATTTTTCGATTGGTGTAAAGAAAAATTCAGGATATGTGTCCATTCATACGAAACATTTTCAAAGAGGATGGCAAAGCGCCCACGCCTGCTACAGCAAAGTATCCAGGCGCCTCGGAGCCCACGCCCCTTCGACCCCCCAACAGTATTCTTTTTAACCGACCCTTACCCACGGGTGGTTTGTCCGAAGCGGTTATCTTCAATGGTAAAATGATCAATGGATACAGAAAAAATAAAGCCTAACAGTTTTCACATCATCGTTACTATAATAGTCACCGTTATTTTGGTGAAATATTGTGGTTCATTGTAAAAACAAAACAGTTTATTTTTATTTTGTAAACACTCAGAATTAATGTGCGCGACCGAATTAAAGATAATCTTTAACATAAAAATATAAATTAAAAAGATTGTGAAAAATAAAACTCAAATCTTTTGTCGTTATGCTTAGAAATTTACAAGCGTTTTTTGTCTTTCTGTTTTCAGGATTTCCTTAATAGGAATTTCGCAACTCTTTTTATTCTTTATAAAAAAATGTAATAAGTAATATAACTATGTGTACTTTGGACGCCGATTTAAAAGTATTTTTTTGCGTGATATAGTTTTTATTTATTTTGAAAATTCTCATCCATTTGCTATTTTTGATTAGAAATAAATGTTTTGAGAACTATTACAATTTTTTACCATTTAAATTTAAAACCCTTTTTTTTTAATACAAATATTTTATTTGTATTATTTTTATATTATTTATATCGTTTCATATCGATCAATTTTTTATATAGATCTATATTTCAGGTGGAAAATATAATATAAAAATTTCCACTTGTATTCACAAGTCGATTTACTTATGGATATACATTACATAACAACTATTTTACACTTTTCTAGACTTGACATGCGCAATAAGAATGTATTATTGGTCTACTGTCAATAATAAAATGTAGAAAATCTACAAGAAAACTCGGTTATTTTCCTCAATGGGATCCGGTTTTATGACGATTTTTTGTGTTCTTTCTTATCATACATCACAAAATATAATGCAAATCACGAGTAAAAATAATTTTACACATTAAATATGTTTATTTATTAAAAATAATAATTTTAAGCAATGATTTAGTCAGCTTATAAAGTGATAATTAAAAACTGAAAATCTTATGAATAATTATGTTTTTTTGAAAAATATCCAATTTGTTTACTAAAGATACTGTTGTTACGGAGATAATTAAGTTATTGTCGATCATCTAGTCGTTTAAATTTGTATTTCAAGCTTTAAGACACGTATATTTAGTAGTTCAGACAGGCTTTCATGGAAATATTGTAACGGATGAGTTAATAAATGGTATATTAGCGTAGTCAGCGAATGAACGTCATTCTATATTATGACAAGCATTTGAAAGATATATATATATATATACATATACATATAATACTATCTATTTGGAATCTTTACTTTTGGGTAATTTGTAACAATAAATAAATATTTTAATTTGATTTATTTAGCAAACGCCATATATTTAAATAGCACCAAAGTTCTAGATCACATATTTATTTAAAGTCATATTTTCAAAAGTATAAATAGTATATGTTTAACATTGTTTACGAATTACGTATACGCGATTTTTTAGTATTTTTTGTGACTATTTGAGTTAAATATTTTTTCGTTTTTAATTTACATAAATGATATGTATAAATCTAAAAAATATTCATAATCTATTTATTTGTTATTTTCATACCTTGGAAAGTTAGTTTATATTTATACGGAGTTTGAATTAATATTAAAAGTCAGAAATGAATATTTATCAATATTTTACTGAAATTCTAATAGAAATAACGTTCAACAAAAATAATTTAAACATAATTTTTAATGATAACTTATGTTTCTCAATCACTTGGTATAAGCAAAAAGTTTTTCAGGTTCAAAATTATGAGGAGTAAATTCATTAGATAAAACCATTCTGCAAAAGTCTTACATCGCAATCAATATATCACTGACATTTCTATCGATTACAAAGATTAAAATGATTTAATAACAATACAAATTTATTTATTATATTTATATATCCAGGGAGCCAATTCTCGAAATTGTACGATAAATGGACACATATGATATATTTGTTGGCTATGGTAAAATTTTAACGAAAGTGATAAATAATTTCTATTCTTGAACGGTTTCAATGATTTTTTATCATTTATCAAATTCTATAAACAGATATCGCATGAACCATTATGGTTACACTATGGTTGCTAGAAAAAATTATATTATTATTGATACAATTAAAAACTGTTAATAAACCGATTTAGTTTCGAAGTTGTAATGTTTTTTAATCATTCGCGAAAGTCTAACTGAATACTTTAGTACTCATATAACATAATTTATTTTTAATTTTTTATTTGTTTTGTAATAAATAAATGAAATTTCTATATTTATTCAAATATTTAATATAAGAACATAGAAAAATTTGACGAGGTATTTTAAAGAAACTTGCCTCGTGATAAGACCTTGAACGTCAATAGCAAAAAAATCAACCAATAATGTTTTATAATCGCAAATTAAGTTGTAACTCGACTGTCAATGGGCCGATTTTAATGATAAATACATCAAACGAACCGGTTTTTAATCTAGTTGCATCGAACATTGGAAAAAGCCTCTCATTTTTAGAAATTAAAAAAACATCTCAAAATAACGGTAAAAAAAATGACAATTTCAACTTTTTTTTCTGCATTGTAGAACTAATATAAGTTTTATCAGTGATCCAAATAAAATTTTAATGGCCTATACTAGATTTTTTTTTGGTATACTTTTTGTGGAAATTCGAATAGAAACCTAAGTACAGGAAGGGATTAAAAGAGACCATCTTCAAATGTTAACATTTTTTTTTCATTAAATTTTTGTAAATGTTCCGAAAGGTCAGTAACTTTTAACCTCAAAGCAAATTAAATTAATTACATCAAATTAAAGCTTTTGATGTATATCACAATATTAAAAAAAATAATTCCCATCGATTCAAGCAAAGAGTTTTTTATGACAGTGATGTTAATTATTATCAGATATTATCTATACTTGTTTCAACTATGTGCGTCACTATTATGCCGTGCACCACTATGCTGCGTTTTTGTACAGGTTATCTTGTAGTCAAAAAACAATTACTTGAAATGAAGTATTTGCATAGCGCAAAATGAATTATAATTAATATAAATGCATGTTTCATTGAAGTATTAATTATATCGTCAAAAATACTTTATTTAGAAATAGATAACAAGAAATCATAGTGTTGCTAAAAAATTACATATTTTGTATCTTCCGTGGAAATAGCGACACTTATGATAAGCATTGAAATCAGAATTTTTTAGCACATCGATGAATATGACTAGATAATTATCATGGACATTGCATTTTTTATTTAGTTTGTTTTTCTTTAGTTTTTAATTTTTGTGTAGTTAATCTAATAATACTGTTAAGTGCAATTTTTATAACAGAAAAAAATTGTTACAATTATAGAATAAAACTATTTTCAAGTGGATTGGATCGAGGGTATAGTTCATTAATTTTTAGTTTAATTTTTTTTATCTAATATTCTTGAGTTAAGTTTTTTATATTATAGTAATATTTAGTTCTCTAATAAAATTGCCAAAAAAAATTAATTTAGAAAATTTAGCGCAAACAAAAAACGTAGTTAAAACTTAAAGCCCTAAAAATATTAGTTATTCATTTGACTTAAGGTATTACGCAGATTTTATCATGACCCGTGAAGAATTCGTACATTTTAAATTATAATAAGCAATTTGAAACGCAACTTCCGTTTTACCGCTTTGGCTCGGTGACGGTAATTGTTTGTTCAGAAAAAAACAACTTGAGGTACTATTTTAAATTATTTTTCCCTTGTCATTTTGGATTCCTATTCGGCTGTCTTTTATGTAATCTTCTAGAAAACCTACAGTTTTGTGGTTAAGTGGGTCACGAAGCTTTTCGACAAAGACGATAAATTGATTAGTCACTAAAAAATAAAAATAATTTCGTCCAAAAATAAAATACTCATTATTAGTTAAAACTATTAAACAACTTTTCGTTTATTTCCCCACTACTATAATTCTTCATTGATTTTCTAGAGAATGTATATTTTAATCATTTACAAATAAATTATGATGTATTTATTTTTATGACAGATAATATTTTTGTAATAGATGATTAAATTTTTATTTCTTGAAAATTTAAATAGTGATCTTATTTGAACATAAAAAATGTTGAAAAATAATTATATGGATTAGTATAAGATTTTAGTTTATCATTTTACTATATATTACCTCTTATGTTAGTTAATACACCAGTGTAATAATTCGAAAAAAATTAAATAAGCATAGATTTTAATTTATTTTATTTTTGTATTTATCAAATATTTTTTGTTAAAGAAATGGCTTCAACAGTCATTAAAAAAAAAGTCGTCATAGTCGGTGATGGAGCCAGCGGTAAGACTTCTTTGCTCTTAGTGTTCTTCAAAGACGAATATCCTCAAGTGTATGTTCCTACTGTATTTGAAAACTTTGTTACACAGATTGAGGTGAACAATAAGTTGGTAGAGTTAGCACTATGGGACACTGCAGGCCAAGACGACTATGACAGGTTACGATCGTTGTCGTATCCCAATACCGACGTGGTGCTAATATGCTACTCAATAGAATCTCGTACCTCCCTTATAAATGTTGTATCAAAGTGGGTTCCTGAAGTAAATTATTTCTGCCCAGGAGTTCCCATAATTCTAGTTGGTAACAAAAAAGATTTGCGCCAGAATACACAGATAGTAAAGACACATAAGTTATCGTTGCTAGCAGAAATTTCAGAAAAATTTTCAACACCGATTTATAAGCCAGACATAGTCTCAGTATGTGTCATAGAACAGAGCATCGAACATAAAGACTCTCTTGTAGAAAGCAATAAGTCACATATCGTTATCGAGAATTCTTCTGTAAAGAACTTCAGCGATGAATTAGAAAAACAAATGTTGACTTACGAAGAAGGCCTAAGTGTTGCCGAATCTATTGAAGCATTTGCATTTTTGGAGTGTTCTGCTAAGTCCAGAATTGGCATCCGAGAGGTATTTGAAACGGCAGTAAACGCTTCAGTACGTGATAAAAAAAATGCATCTTGTGCTATACTTTAAAAGGAAATGATACTACTTACAAATGTCGTATATACATATATTTTTTCTTTGTACACTTATTTATAAATATATTATTATTTTTAACGAATGCTAGTAATTTAATAAAAAGGAATATGTAAAATAACATAATATAAATACAAAGCTGTTTTATTCTATTATTTAAAATTTTGTTATATTATTTGAACTCACTTTAAAATATTAATGAATAGTTTAAGTTTTATTTATTTGATACAGGTTTATTCTGGTAATCTGCTAATTTCCATGACAACAAACAATTTTAGAATTCAAAAATTTATTTAGATTTTTAATTATTATTAATATAACAAAGCTAAAATTGTAAAAGAATGTAATATGTAATTATAGAACATAGAAATTTCACATAAAGGTTATAGAAAAATGAAGCAAAAATACTGTAATCGATTTTTTTATACGTTGACAAATAATGTTTATTCTTAATTACATACTCTTGTGTATACTTAATGTTTATACTTAATTACCTTTACTTAAACAATACTAGATATAACGATTAAATAATATATCATTAATTTTTATTGTATTTAAAATGATACTTCAGAAATACTGATACAATGGCTAGATTTTTTTTTATATTAATCAATCATCAATCTAAGAATTTATTTTTGAACGTCGTAAAATAAATTATCATATGAAATATACGGGTAGATAATATTATCTGATTTATAGTTGTTAGATTTATTTGAGTAAACTTGGCCGTTTGTGAAAAAATGCAATGATTGTCGAGAAAAATAAAGAAAGCAGACGCTTTCAACTATTATATAATTATTGGACAAAGTCCAAAGTGGGTATACGTTATTATGCAGATACAACTTCTCTTAACTAGTTAGATAACTACACCTCTTTTTTCCGGAAAGCGTTATATTTTTCCAAAACTTTATAGTAATTTTCATGCCTTCGAATCTTTGTATACATCAATAATAGACCAAAGTAACCTGGTACAGACATAAAGCTGGATTATAAGGGTTTTTTGACAAATCCACACGTAGAGGTACCAGTTTCTAGATTGCTCCTGTCACTTCAGTATGTATATTACATGTATATATTTAAACCCATGTAGACTTTAGTGTACCAGTAATGAAGAAATCATTTCTCTAAGAAAGATTAACAATTGTTAGTTCCATGTGTAAGACTGTTTATATAATGACACTACAAAGACGTATGAAATGTCGAACTCGTGTAACATGCATATAAGATAGTTTACTTTGAATTATTTACTTTTATTTCTTGTTTTATTGTCTTAGAACAATGTCAGACATTACTTTTGCAACAAAAAGAAGTAAATGTCTTGCAAGGTTTGTTTAATCTAACTTACAATCTAAATCAGTCGTGAGTTCGACACAAGTAAATTGCATTTAGTTTATTTAGCTTTTAGAATATTATGTAAAATAATAGTGTCAGTTTCTAATTTAACAAAAAAAATTTCATTTTTATGTTGTGTTATGATTTTTAAAATCTCGTTTCAATGCTAATTTTACATCACATTGCAATAGAAATAATTATTGAGGTTGTAACCACAGCAATTATTAAACTTTAAATCTATAAAGAATCACAGTATAATTGTGATTCTACAGGATGTTGTAAAAAAAACGGTAGCACAGAGGGGTCGTAGCATAGTGGGACAATTATAGATGATATCTGACAGTGATTAAAATCACTAAATCACAAAAGAAACGCTTCAATGCAAATCTGTAGATAGTGTATAATTTAAAAAAATTGACGCATTATTCAAAAAGCAAAATTAAATCTTATTTCCTTATTTATATTCTGATTAGTAGTTCTTACATGTAGATTTAAAACTATAAAATATGAATAAATATTTATTATAGCAATTAAATTAGTATAAGATTGATATTTAATAATTTAATTATGTAATTTTTTCGGAGAATTTATAAAAAATTAGAAAGTAGTTATTAATCGACTGCAAATGGCACATTAAAAATAGGTCGTCGGTACAAATTTTTTTTTTTGAACTTCTAGTACATAAAATAATCTTTATTTTACACATATATTTAAATACGCAGTATTCCTCGAACTTTTTCAAAAGTTAATATGAAAAAGTTCTACTTTTTATACAAATTTTCAAGTTTTCAAAAATTCAAAAGAGCATTTCTTAACTTTGTAGAGGCAAAATAAATATAAATTGGTATTTAATGTAAGTAAGAATTACGTAAATTTTATATTTATTGGTGGACTCATTATTATGGCAAAACCTTAAAAGTTATTTTAAAATAAACAAAAAATACATATAAAAGGTAAGTCGTCGGGGCAAATTATTTCGTTATAAATTATAATACGTAAAATAAGATTTTATTTAACATATGTTTAAAGGGCGCAGTATTTCAGAAATATTTACAAAACTTAATTTGAAAAAGTTGAGTTTTGTAAAAAAGTTGTTATGTTGAATCTCTCCCTGTGGGCAGGTAAAGGGTCAGATTATCATACAATTTATATCGAATTAAAAGAAAATACGTAAGGTTTTTATACACAAAAATTATTTTCGTTCGTTAGTTTTTCAAAAATTTATGGCAGTTGTAAGTACCAAAATAACATTGATTTCTTATACGAAAATTACATTTTTCGTTCAATTTTGACGGTCATTTGCACATAGAAGATAGGTTGTCGGGAAAATTTTTTTTTTAACTTGTAGTACATAATGTAAATTAAGTTAAACATATGTTTAAAGATCGCAGTATTTCTGGAACATTTTCAAAAGTTAAGTTAAAGAAGTTCTACTTTTTATACGTATGTTCTGAGTTTTGGACGCCCCCTGTATAAAAGGAAATTGTCCGATTGAAAAAAAAAATCGAATGAAAGGGATATATATAGTGTATTTAAAAACAAAAATTTATTTTGTTCTATATATTTTTCAAAAAGTTATAGAAATTTAAAATTGAAAATTTAAAAGCGAAAATCGAAAATATTAACACAAAAATAGCATTTTTTTAAACTATGGCAGCCGTTTGCACGTAGAAAATAAGTTGTCTGGACAAATTTTTTTTTAATTTATACGTAAAATAAGCTTCAATTTGACATATGTGTAAAGGACGCAGTAATTACGGAACATTTACAAAAGTTAAGTTGAAAAAGTTGACTTTTATAAAAAAGTTTCTATTTTGAATACCTCCCTGTGAGCAGGTTAAGTGTTAGATTTTCAAATAAATGATATTAAATAAAAAGAAAATATCTAAGATTTCAATATACAAAAAACTTATTTTAATTCATTCATTTTTCAATAAGTTAGGGCAATTTTTAGAAAAAATATCAAAATTTACCGATTTTAAAAATCGTAATTTTTTAGGGGATTTTCATAATTTCGCATCGAAATTAATATTACCCGGGTTTTCAAAAATTATGAAAATTTTCTTCAGATAATAGTATTGTTAAAAATCATACTTACTTGAGTCATGTGAATGCGCGAGTCATTTCACATTAACTTTGAGAGATATCAGTTATGCTTCAATTTTGCAAAGGTGCTGATAATCGCTATTTAAAAAAAAAAAAAAAGTCTGAATAATCAAACGTATTGAACATTTTTGACGCATAAAATTTTAGGAAATATTTCGATAAAAATGTTTATCTGTGTACGAATTAACATTATTTATGTTATTTTACTCTATTTTGTATAATATTAACGTATATATTAAAAATGTCATATTGACGTATAGAATTTCGGGATAATTTATTACAGTGTATCTAAATAATCATGTTAACTTAAAATGATGACGACATTACGGCTTAAGTTAACCCTCTCAGCCTTTTATATTTAACCTAGATTAATAAAAAAAATTTAACATTCCGGTTTTTTTTTTGCCGCAATTTTTATAACCAAATTTTTAGCTAACAGTAATTAAGTCCACTATGAGTATAGTTAAACTGAATTAATCCAGCTGACCTTTTATTAAATTTACCTATTTTTATGTTTGTTACAATAAAGATGTAAATATACTTAATGTATAGAATTGTATATTATAGATGTTATTAATATGTTATGAACAACTGATTTTTTGAAAAATCCACATACTATTCTTATAAAAAATTGTAAAAACAACGTGGAAGATTCTATACGTATAAACTATTCAACTTTTTCGACGATTAAAGAAAAATAAATTATTATTAGTTTTTGAAGTACACGAACATCGAAATTATAATGAGATTTGGTTTGAGTTCCTGTAGAGTGGCATTGTTTGGTAAAAATAAAATATTTCACAAGCCAAAAATACCTGAATAAAAAAATATCAAATAATTTATATTTTTTTTTGTGCGCTATTCAAAGGTAATCTTAGAACTTTTGGAGTAATTTTATAGTCAATGTAAGTTTTTTCATGAATAATGATTTTATTCACAAAAAATTGTTGTGTTTTTAATGTATGACTAGAGAAATTGTATTTTATCGTAATCTATTTCTTTATATAAAAAAATTTTCCTCAACTAATATTTAAATACAAAAAAGGGTTAAAAATGAATTATATCTACAAATAGCGAGACTTCAAAAATTATAAAATAATTTTCAGAAAACGTAAAAATAACTTTGCGTGAGTATACAATGTGTTGCTAAAGTATTAAACATAAAATTAAATAATGTAAAATATGAATGTAGTAAAATTTAATTCAAAGTGAAAACTATGGTCGATAATAATAATTAAAAATTTATTTCAACCTAAAACTTCAAATTTTATAATACTTTGACTATGATTATAATCAAATATAAGTTTAACTTTTGGAATAAATAAAAATACTTATTTCTTTTGTTTGAAAATCCAAAATAATGTGCAAATACGTATATGACACATTATCCAGTTTTACGACTGCTGTGTTGTACTCCATAAATATTAATTTCAAATCCTCTCACAAAACATAATTTTGTTTTATGAATCTTTTGTGACTACTTAAAGTTGACAAATTAAAGATAAAAATATGATCCGACTAAAAATAAAAATAATATTACATTTTATCCCTCAAAATAAAAAGGAGTAATAATATTTAATCGCCATTGCATTTTAATAAGTAATAATTTGACTTTTAATTTTACTTATTCACTATCGTAAATGTTTGAATTTAGTGAAAATGAATAAGGTGCCGGTTG